AAGGAGAGTAATGGAAGCCTGAAGAAATGGAAGCCGTGTTTAGGGATGCTTGGATCAACTGCGAAAGTTGATGTTGAGGAAGAAGGCAAAGGCCTCTTTCTTCTTACCTCACTTTCAGATTTGTACGAGAACCTTGTGAAACTTTACTGCAAGGAAAGAAACAGTAAGTTTGGAGCAGGTGCAAGTTTCTTTGGTGTGGAATGATACACACAAGAGACCATGGATGATGGTGGGCACAAGACTGCTTAAGCTATTCAAGGTTGAAATCGTGGAAAAAAATTGGAAAGAGGATCTGAGAGAGACAGCAGGTTCGGATCCGGTTCCGGAGGCAAGGGTCCACAGTGCTACGGGTGCAAGGCCGGGTTAGCAAGTTTGTGGTGGAAGACTTTGAGTATGCCCTCTAGGTACTCGAAGCAACACTTCTCCTGGTGATGTTTAGTCTCAAGTGTTGCAGGGGTTTTCCAGCAGGTGGAGCTATGGGATTCACAGGTGATGAGAAGGTCCTGAGGTAGGAGGAAGTGTGGGAATTTTGTCTGGCTCGATGGGTTGTTGCTGGAAATAGGCACGCTGACGAGTTTCCAGGTTGCAGACAATGAAGAGGAGGAAAACCTGCTGGAGGAGACGAGGATGTGTTGAGATCCTGTCTGAAGCTAAATGGTGATTTTTAGCTTGCAGCAGCTGCACATGCATTGACAGTAACAGAATCGAAATAGGACCAACGAGGTTGATTCAGAGTGTGCATGCTGGTACGTAAGGCCAATGGACTTTGGTACAATTTGGCCAAGGTGGAGATTGTTGGATAGTGGCCAAAGTAGTGCCATGTTTTGTGGCTTTTTTCAAAGCCATGTTTTGTGGCTTGTTTTGTGGCTTACTTTGCTCCTTGTTTTGTGGCCTTTTCAAAGCCATAATTATTTGGCTAGGTATTAAAAGGAACGGATGGAGGAAGGGAAATAATCCAAGGAAGAGATGCAAAGCATCCAAAGAGATGGTGAGAGCATTTGGCTCTACCATGGGTAAGGGTGAGAGAAATCAAGAGAGCTAGAGTGAAAGATCTCTTGTGAAAGAACTCTTGGGGTAGAGTGAGGCTCTTGGGAAAATTCTGTGAGTGGGTGTACAAGGGATATGGGATTGGGTTATGTCGATTTAACTCATGTATACTTGTATTGTTATTCTCATAGTGAAGAGCAATATCTCTCCGAGGACGTAGGCAGTTTTTTGCCGAACCTCGTAAATTTCTCTGTGTCTTTATTTCTTGAATTTTATTTTGTTCAACTGTGTGTGATTTTGGTGAGGTTGTAATCTGAATCTCGGTTCCGCACTAACGAACGGGCCAAGGCACAACACTTTACGGTTTGAAACAAGCACCAAGAGCGTGGTACGGTAAGATTGCAGAGTTTCTAACACAAAGTGGTTATTCAGTAACACCTACAGATTCCAGCTTGTTTGTCAAAACCAATGAAGGAAAGCTAGCTATCGTGCTAGTGTATGTGGATGACTTGATCATAACCGGTGATGATGAGGCAGAAATTCTTCGGACGAAAGAGAATTTATCAGTCCGTTTCCAGATGAAGGAACTTGGCCAACTCAAGCACTTCCTTGGTCTAGAGATTGATCGCACACAAGAAGGAATATTTCTCTGTCAGCAAAAATATTCCAAAAATTTATTGAAGAAGTTTGGAATGCTCGAATGCAAGCCAATTTTGACATCGATGGAACCAAACGCCAAAATGTGTGCACATGAAGGAAAAGATTTGGAAGATGCGACAATGTATCGACAATTGGTAGGTAGTCTGATCTACTTAACCTTGACTCGACCTGACATTTCTTATGCAGTTGGTGTAATGAGTCGGTACATGCAAAATCCAAAGAAGCCTTATTTGGAAGCAGTTCGACGAATACTGAGATATGTGAATAGTACAATTGACTATGGTCTTTTGTACAAGAAAGGTGAAGACTGCAAGTTAGTTGGTTACTGTGATGCTGACTATGCGGGAGATCATGACACCAGGAGATCAACAACTGGGTATGTGTTTAAGCTTGGTTCTGGAACCATCTCTTGGTGTAGCAAGAGACAGTCAACGGTATCTTTGTCAACCACAGAAGCAGAGTATAGAGCAGCAGCAATGGCAGCTCAAGAGAATGCATGGCTGGTACAGTTGATGAGTGATCTACATCAACCAGTAGATTATCCAGTATCATTGTACTGTGATAACCAATCGGCCATTCGCTTGGCGGAAAATCCAGTCTTTCATGCAAGAACTAAACATGTGGAAGTGCACTACCACTTTATCAGAGAAAAGGTTCTACAAGAAGAGATTGAGATGAGACAGGTCAAGACGAATGATCAAGTTGCGGACTTGTTCACAAAAAGTTTAAGTACAGGCAAGCTCGAAAATTTTCGCTATCTGCTCAGCACAGTGCAAAGAATGAGAGCTAACATTGAGGGGGAGTGTTGAGAATCAATGTTAGGTATGGTTGAGTGGAAAAAATTAGGTGCAATTAATGGGTTTTGTGTGGTAGCAAATAATCTTAGTTTAATTAAGTGTGTGGTGTAGCTTTCATTTGGTTTGCTATAGATACCCAAGTCCCCAAGCATTGTAAATCATCCAAGGAAAAACAAAGCCTAGAGCTAAATAAGAAAAGCTTTGCTAATTAGTTTGTTTTGTGAGTTTTCTTTAAGAGTGTGCTCTATTTTCTTCTTCTTGGGATCATTAGAGTTATCTTGGATACTCTTCTTATTCAACAGTACATGCCAAACAAAAGTTTGGACAACTTCTTATTTGGTAACTGGGAACTAATTAGAACTACATTAATTTAGCATTTGATTTCCTTTGTTCGAACTTTTTATTCATTGATATATTCTTAGTTAGCTTCCTCTATATTACAGATTCTACCAGAGCTCTACTAGATTGGAAGACGCGTTTCAGTATAATTGAAGGAATAGCTCAAGGATTGCTTTACTTGCACAAATACTCGAGAATGAGGGTAATTCATAGAGATTTGAAACCTAGTAACATATTACTTGATGAAAATATGAACCCCAAAATATCAGATTTTGGTATGGCAAGGATTTTCAACTATAATGAATTGGAAGCAAATACTGGTAGGATTGTTGGGACACGGTAAGGACGCAATGCTCTTATCACATGTTTGCTTTTGGATACATGAAATGCAATTTTATAGAATTTTATAGATGCGTACACAAAAACATAGATATTTTACCTTTCCTTCTTCACTTGGTGCAGTGGTTACATGTCTCCCGAATACGCCATGGAGGGGATATTTTCAATAAAATCTGATGTCTTCAGTTTTGGGGTGTTAATGCTCGAAATCATAAGTGGCAGGAAAAACAACAGCTTCTACAATGATGAGCGTGTGCTAAATTTAGTAGGATATGTACGTAATACAAACCTCTGCATTTAATTCTTTATTCTTCTCCTTTGAGGTGTCCGGGTTGATAAGAACTTCGGTGCGGACTTTCGTGACATATGGCTGGTTGAGTAGCATGTATCGTCCCGTTAGGATTTGTCAGGTGTTGAAGAATTTTAACGATAACAAAATAGGTCACTCAACCTGTCACATGACGGAAGTTCCCAAAGCGGTTTTTCTCATGAGGTTCGGTCATGATGGTATCCTAATTAAGTCATCATAACTCATATTGTTTCAGACATGGGAGCTATGGAAAGAAGGCGCAGGGATAGAACTAATGGATCCAACACTAAAGGATTCCTGTATTCAGGATCAATTTCTTAGATGCATCCATGTCGGTCTACTATGCGTGGAGGAAAATGCAGGTGAACGGCCGACCATCTCCAATGTGATATCTATGTTGACAAATGAAAGTGTGGCATTACCTATGCCAACAAAGCCAGCATTTTTCACTGAAAGAAATCATGTGGCCGGTGGAAAGGAGCCAGAAGATATGTCGATAAATTGTTTGTCCAATTCCGAAATGGTTGCCCGTTGAAGGTTGTGGCTCGGTTTAATATACTTGCAAGAGCTGTCTCAGTTCATTTTTATCACCACTCTTGAGTGGTAGTAAGCTCACCATCCTATTAATTACTATTAAATGAGTTAGATTTTATTTATCTATTACACAAATCATACGAAAGGGATTCTATGCAATTTATGCAGTCAAAGGAAGTTGTGTGACAATAAGACTCCAAGTTTTCCAAGAATTTTAACATATGTTGGTTTTCACCTTTCTCTAAATAAAAAGTAATTTAGTTGTTTTTTTTTTTCACTTATAAGCGGTGAGAGTCTTTGGTTTGACTTTTGTGGGTAGTGAGTTTGCACTAAATTATTATGGCGAGACTATTATGTTGCTTAATCCAAATCTCCTACACTGTTAATCTTTTTTTGGTATTTAAACAAAAAAATCGTGTGGCATTATCTGGCATAAGGATGGGTCAAATGGTCTCCCTCACATTCTTAGACCTGCCAAAACTTATTAGAAAAGAAAAGAAACTTCTCAACAATGGGGATTACATGGAAAAAATTTTAGGGAGATCATGTTCTTAACGATTTAAAGAAGGAATCCAAGCAACAACGGTAACATCATGTAATCTACAAAATATAGTTTAAATATATAGTCTCTCTAATATCACCCTTCCATGTAGCCAAAACCTCAAAGAAATAATACAATAAAAGTTTAACAACTTAATTGAAATTATTTCAGTAGATGCCTTGTCGAATTGGGATTTTGGTGCGCCTTAAGGGTATCAATCATGCTTGGTGTGACTCAGCTAAATATACTTGTCAGGTACAGTTCTCTGGTTTATTTATTACTACCTGATCTTATTTTTTTTTCTTTCTTCCACAAATGCGTTAATTCCATCTCTTTCAAGTACAGTTCTCTGGTTTATTTATTACTACCTGATATTATTGTTTTTCCTTTCTTCCACAAATGCGTTAATTCCATCTCTTTCAAAGAAGAGATCAACCAGTGTACTGATGAAGAAAGAAACCAATGAGAAAGTTCAGAGGCCGGAGTAGGTGGGTATTGTGACTTGCGCAGAAAGAAAGGAGGTGGTCATTGTTCTAAATGCAAGTTATATTCTAACCAAAATTAATAGAAAATCCTTGCTGTCAAAATACTTAAATCAGTAAGTCAAAAGTCTTTCTTTGAATTTTGAATGAAAACAGAAGTCTTCCGGTAATTGTAAAAAAATTATGTAGTTCCAAGGTGTTTACTAAACTCACACGCCTCTTAATCGTGTTTTTTTTTTTAAGCCAAGTTTTTCATTGTCTTGTGGCATGGCTACATGTGTGATGATGAAGAACTCAATTTTCTTGATCATTTTTGCATGCTTGTGGGCTTGTCATGATGCAAGGGACACATTGGCACCGGGGGACACACTTGATTCCTTGAGTTCCTTAGAATCTGCATCGGCAAAGTTCACCTTGTCTTTCGTTGAGCAACTGTATTCCAACTTCACCTATTTGGTCATCCGCCGCAATAAATACAACCCAAACAAAGCTTGGATTGGCAACAGAAACAGACCTATTTCATCATCTTCATCTCCACTTCTTACCTTGGATTGGAATTACACATTGAAGATTACTCAAACGGGTGAAGATCCAATTGTCATTTGCTCTGCTCCACAAACTAGTAATGGTACTAGTAGCGGTGTTGTGGCTACCCTTTTAGATTCTGGCAATCTTGTACTGCAAGAAATGAATGGATCGAGGGTTTTTTGGCAAAGTTTTGATTATCCAGGAGACACATTTTTACCGGGTATGAAGTTAGGTGTCAACCGCAGTGATGGCCACATCTGGTCACTTGTATCATATGTAGATACCTACAACCCGGCTCCAGGGCCTTTCAGTCTTGTTTGGGACCCGAATGAACATGAATTGAAAATCAATAAAAGCGGGGTGGTTTATTGGACTAGTGGAGTCTTGAGATCAGATGGAAAGTTTGAATTTATTTTGCCTAATGTGTCCAAGCAGAGGTACAATTTTAGCATTGTATCTAACGAAAATTATGGCTACCTCACTTACACTTCTGTAGGTGATCAGAGTCTTGAACCAGAATGGGTGCTATACAGTAGTGGGATACTTCAGGAATATGAAGGACGGATGGATATTGTACAAGCACAGAACTGTGACGGCTATGACACCGGTGGAGGGTGCGTCCGAAGGTTCCAGTCAACGAAATCCTCTGGCACAAAAATTGGTAACCATGCAAGTCCAAATTCATACCACTTGATATATATTCATCCAAAAATTGAAGATAATTAATGCATACATGCATACATTTCTTGTGTGTTACACTGATTGCATATGTTGGTAGCTAATTGTTTATGATGCAGCAGATAAATGGGTTTGGATTGGCACTTCTATAGCTGCTGCTCTAGTGCTTTGCACCGCGTACTATCTAATTCGACGAAGAAGATCAGCCCTTGCATCAGCTGGTATATTTCTTTAAATCATGTGCACCAGTAAGACAGGATTATTATTCACATCTTTGACTATTGTTGTCTCCATTGAAACTTTAATTTCTTATAATTGACCTGTATAGGTGAGAACCGGACAGAGATTGAGAACGAAATGCTTAACTTCATGAAATCTAATCGACCTACTGATGATGTTAATGGTCTCCAAAATGATGGAAAGATAGGACATCATGATTTAAGCGTTTTTAGCTATTCAACCATCTTGGCTGCCACAAGCAACTTTGCTGAAGAAAACAAGCTAGGAGAAGGAGGGTTTGGACCGGTTTATAAGGTAACATTTTGAAAAAACAAAAATTTCTGCTTCTAATTCAAAAGCTGTAGAAAAAATTTAAAAAAAAGGAATTAGCTTCATTTACCTAAAGATGACAGCAAAAACATGATATGGATTATCAATTCAGGGGAAATTGGCGATGGGACAAGAAATAGCTGTGAAGAGGCTTTCGAAATGTTCAGGGCAAGGAACATCAGAATTCAAGAATGAACTGATACTTATATATGAACTCCAACATCGAAACCTGGTTCAGCTTTTCGGATTTTGCATTCATGGCGAAGAGATGATGTTGATATATGAGTATCTGCAGAACAAAAGTTTGGACCACTTTTTATTTGGTGAGGAACCAAGATACTTGATTTCATTTGTTAACTTTGCTATCTGACTTTTATTTTACTGTCAAAGTTCATATATTACTACTATTAATTAATATTAGTCCTACTTAACTCTACATATTGGACAGATCCAACCAGAGGTCTACTACTAGATTGGAAGAAGCGTTTAAGCATTCTCGAAGGAATTGCTCAAGGGTTGCTTTACCTGCACAAATATTCAAGAAAGAAAGTAATTCATAGAGATTTAAAAGCTAGTAACATACTACTTGATGAAAACATGAACCCAAAAATTTCAGATTTTGGTCTGGCAAGGATTTTCACCCAAAATGAATTGGAAGCAAACACTAGCAAGGGACACATTGGCACCGGGGGACACACTTGATTCCTTGAGTTCCTTAGAATCTGCATCGGCAAAGTTCACCTTGTCTTTCGTTGAGCAACTGTATTCCAACTTCACCTATTTAGTCATCCGCCGCAATAAATACAACCCAAACAAAGCTTGGATTGGCAACAGAAACAGACCTATTTCATCATCTTCATCTCCACTTCTTACCTTGGATTGGAATTACACATTGAAGATTACTCAAACGGGTGAAGATCCAATTGTCATTAGCTCTGCTCCACAAACTAGTAATGGTACTAGTAGCGGTGTTGTGGCTACCCTTTTAGATTCTGGCAATCTTGTACTGCAAGAAATGAATGGATCGAGGGTTTTTTGGCAAAGTTTTGATTATCCAGGAGACACATTTTTACCGGGTATGAAGTTAGGTGTCAACCGCAGTGATGGCCACATCTGGTCACTTGTATCATATGTAGATACCTACAACCCGGCTCCAGGGCCTTTCAGTCTTGTTTGGGACCCGATTGAACATGAATTGAAAATCAATAGAAGTGGCGTGCTTTATTGGACTAGTGGAGTCTTGAGATCAGATGGAACGTTTGAATTTATTTTGCCTAATGTGTCCAAGCAGAGGTACAATTTTAGCATTGTATCTAACGAAAATTATGGCTACCTCACTTACACTTCTGTAGTTGATCAGAGTCTTGAACCAGAATGGGTGCTATACAGTAGTGGGATACTTCAGGAATATGAAGGACGGATGAATATTGTACAAGCACAGAACTGTGACGGCTATGACACCGGTGGAGGGTGCGTCCAAAGGTTCCAGTCAACGAAATCCTCTGGCACAAAAATTGGTAACCATGCAAGTCCAAATTCATACCACTTGATATATATTCATCCAAAAATTGAAGATAATTAATGCATACATGCATACATTTCTTGTGTGTTACACTGATTGCATATGTTGGTAGCTAATTGTTTATGATGCAGCAGATAAATGGGTTTGGATTGGCACTTCTATAGCTGCTGCTCTAGTGCTTTGCACCGCGTACTATCTACTTCGACGAAGAAGATCAGCCCTTGCATCAGCTGGTATATTTCTTTAAATCATGTGCACCAGTAAGACAGGATTATTATTCACATCTTTGACTATTGTTGTCTCCATTGAAACTTTAATTTCTTATAATTGACCTGTATAGGTGAGAACCGGACAGAGATTGAGAACGAAATGCTTAACTTCATGAAATCTAATCGACCTACTGATGATGTTAATGGTCTCCGAAATGATGGAAAGATAGGACATCATGATTTAAGTGTTTTTAGCTATTCAACCATCTTGGCTGCCACAAGCAACTTTGCTGAAGAAAACAAGCTAGGAGAAGGAGGGTTTGGACCGGTTTATAAGGTAACATTTGAAAAAACAAAAATTTCTGCTTCTAATTCAAAAGCTGTAGAAAAAATTAAAAAAAAAAGGAATTAGCTTCATTTACCTAAAGATGACAGCAAAAACATGATATGGATTATCAATTCAGGGGAAATTGGCGATGGGACAAGAAATAGCTGTGAAGAGGCTTTCGAAATGTTCAGGGCAAGGAACATCAGAATTCAAGAATGAACTGATACTTATATATGAACTCCAACATCGAAACCTGGTTCAGCTTTTCGGATTTTGCATTCATGGCGAAGAGATGATGTTGATATATGAGTATCTGCAGAACAAAAGTTTGGATCACTTTTTATTTGGTGAGGAACCAAGATACTTGATTTCATTTGTTAAATTTGCTATCTGACTTTTATTTTACTGTCAAAGTTCATATATTACTACTATTAATTAATATTAGTCCTACTTAACTCTACATATTGGACAGATCCAACCAGAGGTCGACTACTAGATTGGAAAAAGCGTTTAAGCATTCTCGAAGGAATTGCCCAAGGGTTGCTTTACCTGCACAAATACTCAAGAAAGAAAGTAATTCATAGAGATTTAAAAGCTAGTAACATACTACTTGATGAAAACATGAACCCAAAAATTTCAGATTTTGGTCTGGCAAGGATTTTCACCCAAAATGAATTGGAAGCAAACACTAGCAAGATTGTTGGGACACGGTAAGTATTTCTGCATCACATTGACATGGTCTTCCCCTTTTGATTGCTAAACACGCATTTTTGCAGATAAGTATACTGACTATTTTTTCTTTTTCATTTGGTGCAGTGGTTACATGCCTCCAGAGTCCATGGAGGGAATTATTTCTGTTAAGTCCGATGTCTACAGTTTCGGGGTATTGATACTTGAAATCCTAAGTGGAAGGAAAAACAACAGCTTCTACAATGACGATCGTGCGCTCAATTTAGTAGGATATGTATGACAAACAAATATCTCTCTTAAAATTTATAATCATATTTTTCTTCCTTAGAATGAAATGCAATCCTTGTTCTTCAGGCATGGGAGTTATGGAAAGAAGGTGCAGGGCTAGAATTAAGGGATCCAACATTAGGAAATTCGTTTATTAAAGAGCAACTGTTAAGATGCATCCATGTCGGTCTGCTTTGCGTGGAAGAAAATGCAGCAGATCGGCCCACCATGTCTGATGTCATATCTATGTTGACAAATGAAAGCTTACCATTAGCATCACCAACAAAGCCAGCATTTTTTGTTGGAAGGAGAACGGTGGAGGCTGGTATAAGTGGGAATCAGCAACTTGAAATTGCTTCAGCAAACTACATGTCCAGTTCTGATTTTGAAGCACGTTAATTAAAGGTAAAAATCATATTTGTAGTGCCTCAACTACACTTGAGCAAGTGTTTTGCTTCTGCTTAATTAAAAAGACTGTACTTTACTTGACTAATTAGCATCACTCAAACCACTCTCGCAAATTGGTATGTGTCCTGGGAAGAAGATCAATAAATTAACGGCGACGCTGTTTTTGTAAATGTAGGAGGGTATGCATCAACTGGAGTTGGCTGATGGCTTTTGGCACCTTTCAAGATACTTGAGAAGTTTTTAGAGTTTAATTTGCGGAGGGTGCTTGCTTCTGTAGTCCCTATATAAAATAAAATAAAATAAAATAAAAACAAAACTAGATTCTCATATATTACCTTTGAATTAAGGATATGTGATGATGATCCATGAAGTACTGTGATATATAAAATAGTATGTCTTTCATTCAATTGAAAATTTTCGTATTGTTTGATAGAACAAGAAAATTTTTGATAAGCATACGTTAGAAACACTCAAAACGTATATGAGTTAAACAATTACTTGAGTTACAACCACTTTACGAGTTATAGATCAACCGTTTGATCTCTCTAATATTATAAAGAATATATCTTAGACGCTTATCATTAGTAAAAAATACTGAAGGTCTAGAATTTTTTGAATCATAATTTTCAAGAATTTGTTCGAGTGAATCTTCCTAGTATTGAAACTAGATTGTTTATACCTTTCCTATTAAAATGATGTCGTGTCACGTGACCTTATTGATTTTGTATATATTTTTTTAGGGTGTGTCTAATCCAGGAAGTCTGTCATGAAACCAAACTCAATATTAGGTCAAAAATCTAGGATGCAATTTCACTCTCCATATTGTTCGTTCATGAATATGTTGAATTTTTTTTAAGGTTAAATGTGTCTTATTCATGTAGTTAAGACTGGTGCATTCAGGTTCCGTAGCAATGCATGGGCATTTTTTCTAGTTACTCCTAATTCCTTCCGTTCATCGTTTCCCTCATACGGTTTTTCTTATATCTTCACTCTGATTTGGTTTTGTTGCTACCGGTTTGCTTCTACTCTATGCAAGCAGATAAACCTTGCTTCATATATATCCTTCTAAAAAGGACAGATGAATTGCCCTTATCTCAACATTGCTTCTATAAATTGCCCTTTGTACCAGTTTTTTTAAGACGGCCCAACGGCCCACTACTAATTACCATTAATAGTGACCGTAACTTAAGCACGTGTGCAATTCAGTAGGTATGGTTTTATACAAAATTAAGGCCTCAAGGCAATTAGTAGTCGAACTTTCTATATAAGAGGATTTAAACTTCAACAAGTTTCCGATGTGGCCATGTGGGACATGCTTCAACACACTTAATTGGTATAAACGGAAAATACACTTCTTTGTGTGTTTTGGACAAAAGGCTGGTTTCCCCATAATCTAGACATCTTGGAGTCCAAGTACGAATCGTGCCGTCAGCTGCTTTGAAGTGGAAAAGCAGATGAACATGCACTGAGGATGAAGTCTAGTTTTGTTGTTATTATTAGGTTCTGTTTTTTCAAATGCTGTTTCTTATGGGATTCCTATATTTATTAACACGGAAAAGCAGATGAACATGCACTGAGGAGCAAGAAAATGGACCCGGATGAAGTCACCAGCAGAAGGATTCGCAGGAGAATAGACAGCAGGGATGTCAATATGGGAAGATCTAACTGCGCGCGTAATGAGATAACTCAGGTCGGACATGCACGCCTATGCGCCTAGGGTGTGGCAAGGGCTAGGGGCATTTACAGCATTGTGCACAACCTAATGCCTGCTCGTCCCAAATTTGAAGAGGAGCTCATTAAGAACGTTTCTGGTGAAGCAAAGAAGGCGCAAAGGAAAAGGTTCAGGCTATGGTGTTTAGAAAAGCTTGAGGCATTGAGGAACCTCATTTGGACTAGAGCAATGGTTTTCTGAGTTGCATGTTTTTCCGTTTCCTAGTGTCGTCGCTTTGTCTTAGTTTTTTAAGGAAGCTTGGGTTGTTGGACTGAAACAATGCTTTTCGGAGTTGCATGCTTTTCGGTTTCGTAGTGTTAAAATTTGGACTTGAATTTGATACTATGATTCTATGAACGTGTGTTCAATCTCGACTGACCTCCACATGACTCGGAGCTTACTCTACCTTTACCTCATCTCCACCTTCTCTGTAGTATTGATCAAATATGGATCGAGCTGAGGTGGGCTTTACACACACCATGGGTCCATTTGGTCGCAGTAGGCAATATCCAAGCGCCTTGTTTGTCATGTCCATCTTAGGCTAATGAAATGGCTGGCCTGACCTGGGATCTAACCTGGTACGAAATGGCTGACCCGACCTGATGAGATGGGGCACACCTCAATGGGCTTCAAATGGTTGTCGAACCACACCTCAAACCCGAAATCAGATTCTCTCTTAATCTCGCAGTCCAAAATCGACAGACTGAGATATCCAAATTGTTCAAGAGAGGGGAGAGAGAGATTCGGACCCCTTGTGTGATGTGGGCCAATATGATAGGCTAAATGAAGACCATATGATTTAAAATAAGTGGTTCAGGTCTCTATGTCTATTTGCGCCAGACTGACATTCGGAGAGGATCTCAATTCCCCAACCCTGTGATTATCTCAACTCGGCCTCGGGTGTTTTACCCCAACGACGTATATCATACATTAAAAACTTCAGTTAGTACTTAGTTTTTTTTTAATACATAAATGGAGACTTAGTCGTCTTTGCTTTTGTGAAGATATTTTTGCACTTTTCATAAGTCTCTTATCACTTGAAGGCTTGGTCGCCTTTGTTTGGTCCTGGAGGTCTGTATTCATATTTGACACCACCTGTATCCGTCCTCAATCTGCATGTGCATGTGCTTTGGTCCTGGAGGTTTCTTTTCAGATTTGACACCACTTGTATCCGTCCTCAATCTGCATGTACATATGCTTTTCAAAATTTTCTTTGTGAGCCCCATGTACATATGCTTTTCAAAATTTTCTTTGTAAATTTTTTTTGTGAGCCCCATGTACATATGCTGCTCACATGTACATATGCTTTTCAAAATTTTCTTTGTAAATTTTTTTTGTGAGCCCCATGTACATATGCTTTTCAAAATTTTCTTTGTGAGCCCCATTGTTGAATTTTGACTGGTGGACTTGAATGGCTGGCAGATGAGTGAGTCATGCTCGTATTTACTAGTCTTTTTGGTTTGGAACATTCATATATATTATATTTTGGAACCTAGAATCTCGAGTGTAGTGATAAATATTTTTAATTATTTAAGTTACAAGTCCTTTGCTGATTTGGAACATTTATAAGTGCTTAAGTAAGTAGAATCATAAAACGGACAAGGGACGAAAGTAGGATGAAAAGAGATTTGAGAGAGACAAGTCAGCGGGCCATTACTAATTACATCAATATTGCTCCAACTTGCAACATTACAAAGAGTTGAGAGAGACAATAAGTTCTATTACAAAAAGTCTCGGTGTCATTATATATAGAACTATTTATTATATTATTTTTTTGGTAAAGTACAAAAAACTACCTCAACTATTGGTGTCACGACACTTTCATACATCATCTTTTAAAATTGATAATGTCATACTCATCTTACGAATTTGTGCCAATGTTATTGTGACATCCCACATTACCCAGATGAGTGATCTTTATATGTATATTCTCATCTTTACCTAGCACGAGGCCTTTTGGGAGCTCACTGGCTTCGGGTTCTGTAGGAACTCCGAAGTTAAGCGAGAAGGGGGCTAGAGCAATCCCACATCGCCCAGGGAAGTGATCCTTAAATGTATATTCTCATCCCTACCTAGCACGAGGCCTTTTGGGAGCTCACTGGCTTCGGGTTCCGTAGGAACTCCGAAGTTAAGCGAGAAGGGGGCTAGAGCAATCCCATGATGGGTGACCCACTGGGAAGTTGCTTGTGAGTTCCCAAAAACAAAACCGTGAGGGAATGGTAAGCCCAAAGCGGACAATATCGTGATACGGTGGTGGAGCGGGCCCGGGAAGTGATCCACCCCGGGCCGGGATGTGACAAATTGGTATCAGAGCCTAACCCTGGCCGTGGTGTGCCGACGAGGACGTTGGGCCCCTAAGGGGGGTGGATTGTAACATCCCACATTGCCCAGGGGAGTGATCCTTAAATGTATATTCCCATCCCTACCTAGCACGAGGCCTTTTGGGAGCTCACTGGCTTTGGGTTCCGTAGGAACTCCGAAGTTAAGCGAGAAGGGGGCTAGAGCAATCCCATGATGGGTGACCCGCTGGGAAGTTGCTCGTGAGTTCCCAAAAACAAAACCGTGAGGGAATGGTAAGCCCAAAGCGGACAATATCGTGCTACGGTGGTGGAGCGGGCCCAGGAAGTGATCCACCCCGGGCCGGGATGTGATAGTTATACTTTCTGTTAGCTTGGCGTGAATTTCTCAGTTAAATGCTGACGTGGCTTGATTCAGGACCCACTTTCTATTAAAAAAATTAATAAAATATTATTAAAAACTAAAAAAAAAAAATCATTTAATATTTTTTAAATATTAAAATAATAAAGAAAAGTAAAAAAAAAAACAAAAAACAAAACAAAACAAAACCTTTTGTCCCTTTCCCCCTTCCCTTCCTCCCCCTCCCTTAAAAATCTACCTGTTGCAACCCAGAAAACAAAAGAAGAAGAAAAAAAAAAAAAAAACAAACAAACCTTCATCCCTTCCCCCATCCCCCCCCCCCCCACTCGAGCCTCTACTTGCAACCCAGAAAAAAAAAAAAATCCCAGTTCGTCTTCCCTTCGCATCCACCCTCCGCACCCACCCTTGCACCCACCCAACCTCGAACCCATCCCTCACAGAATCGCCCTGGCGAATGGGATCTGGGTTTTTTTTTTTTTTTTTTTTCTTCTTCCTCCTCCTTCTTTTTCAAACTGGGTTGCAAGGGGTTGGATTTGTTTTTTTTGGGGGGGAGGGGGGACGAACTGGGTTTTTTTTGGGGGGGGGGGGGGGGGGAGAACTGGGTTAGGGGTTTTTTTTTTTTTTTCTTCTTCTTCTTCTTCTTCTTCTTCTTCTTCTTCGGGGGGTTGGGGGTTGATGGGTTTTCAATTTTTTTTTTTTTTGGTTGAAGATTATGCAGGGGTTGTCACACAAATCCCTGGATTCATGGCACTCCGTCAATTCCTGTTCGTTCCAGCTCCATGGTTGGAGACCTTTCCACCAGCAGCAGCAGCAGACGACCTCCACGCCCACCTTTAAAACCCTAGACTCCGCTGATCGCAAATCCAATGGCCTCCTCGTCCACACCAAGCGCCCCTGCCTCTTCAATAGGACGACTTCTTTTTCTATCGATGTTATCGACATATCCCGGCTTACCTTGGTCGACGACGACATGACGATCTCCAGCGGACACCATACTAGGAACTGGAGCTTTCAGTTCATCGCGAAGAAGCGGTGGCGTCGTGGGTCGAGGTCGATTTTCGGGAGGAGTAGTGAGCGGAGTGAGACCCGAAGGTGCTGCTCGGTTAGGGCTTCGGTGGCATATGGGACATGTTCAGATTTTCCAATGGCAGTGGGGACGGACTCGAGTGGGGGGCCGTTTGGGAATGGGGATGCGAATTGGGCGTCGGATGTGAGTAAGGCGAGGAATTCGAGGAAGGAGAGAGATGGAGGTGAGGGTAATGGAGAGAAGGAGAATGTGGGTGTTGGGTTTGGTCCCACTGGGGGTTTTGATGCTCAGGGGAATGAGTCCGAGTACGGCAGTGAACCGGGTTATCGCGGGGACGCGGAGTTCGGCTATGGCGATGAGTTTGATGAGGAGGAAGAGGATACTCGGGTATTATTTTGGGGCGATCAATTTGGAGATGCTGATTCTATAATAAAGATAGTAGGGGAGAGTACATTCGCGGATCAAAAGTCCCATCACAGATGTCGGCGTAAGAAACACAATTGCAGAATGGTTGATGCACTGAGGTAGCCAAATTGATTGGAGCATACAAACGGCTTCTATATATCCTTTTTCTCGGTAAGCAAAGGTTCCTTTGTATCATTTCGGCATCAGCTTTCTATTCAGAATGAAGGATGTTGGGAACCTGATGGAATCTGTGTATGCTCTAATCACTGCTGTCACACTTGTCAGGTCCATTTTGAGAGTGAGAGGTTTTGGTGTATATACGCAATTGAATTCGGATTTATGCGGCAAATTTGCATTCTAAAATCGTGTGCAAAGGATTATGAATGTGCCATTAGACTTGCTAGCGTCTGAATGCAGGATAAATTCATATGTAAGTTTCTGGTGAGTTTGTAGGGTCCGGGCTAAACTTACATTACCATTATATTAATAATGCCACAATTGTTCTCTAAAAAAAAAAAAAAAAAAAAGGGAAGAAGATGAAGATGGGGAGAGAGGGAAGGGGGGAGGGGGTGGAAGGGACGAAAGGTTTTGATTTTTGGTTTTTTAACGTTTCTTTATTATTTTAATATTTAAAAATATTAAATGATTTTTTTTTAGTTTTTTTTAATATTTTTTTAATTTTTTAATAGAAAGTGAGGTATGGATCAAGCCACGTCAGTATTTAACTGACAAATTAACGGCATGCTAACGGAAGGTATAACATTGGCACAAATTCGTAAGATGATGTATGATATTGTCAATTTTAAAAGATGAAGTATGAAAATGTCGTGACACTAATAATTGAGATAGTTTTTTGTACTTTATCCTTATTTTTTTAAAAGTGAAATTCTTGTATTTTGAACAATGATTAAATGTGTAATTTGACCACCATATGTATAGGTTCGGAGAAATTATTCTGTAGGCTCGGAGATATCTTTGTGTGTGACGTAGTGAGGTCTGAGGTCATGTCGTGGCTGATGCGTAACACTGACTTAAAAAAAAGGGGTAGACGCGTTCACTTCCAGGCAAAAACTTAGAAAATGACAGGCACGGAGATTAGTCAAGCCTAAACTATGGTGCATACACATTTACTAGAAGATATAAAAAGGACCAATGCTTTACTAAGAAATATAGCTAATCAATCAAGCCAAGTTGAAAAATTGGTGCTTTTGCAATGGCAGTGGCTCTTTTTGTAGAGATGCTTTTTTTCTCCTGTTTGTTTTTGCTACCAATTTCTGTGATTTCCCAAAATAATGGAAGAGTAGCAGTTGGGAGTTCTCTAACTGCAACTACAGGCGACTCCTCATCATGGCTTTCTCCATCCGGTGATTTCGCGTTTGGATTTTCGCCCCTCGGAAACAATGATCATTTCTTGCTTTCGATATGGTATGCGAAAATCCCAGTCAAAACCGTAGTTTGGTATGCATATGCATATGACGGTAACAACCCCATGGTTGCACCTAGGGGATCAGTTCTGAACTTGACTGACAACAGTGGACTAGTTCTTAACAATCCTCAGGGTGAAGAGATATGGAAATCCAAAATAACCTCCGGCATTGTTGCGAACGGGGTCATGAATGACACCGGAAACTTTGTCCTTCAAGACGAAAACTCGGGGAGCTTGTGGGGGACCTTCAACCATCCTACAGACACCGTTTTGCCTGGACAGACAATTGAGAGAAATGGGACGCTTTCGTGTAGACAATCGGAGACTAACTACACAAAAGGGCGGTTCCAGCTGCTCTTGCAAGGTGATGGAAACCTCATGCTCAGAACCGTCAACTTGACAACAGGTAATGCCAACCCTCCTTACTTCCACACGGACACCACCGCAGGGAAAGTGCCAGGTAGTGAAGGCAAACAATTGGTGTTCAGCAGCTCAGGGGACATGTTTGTTCTGAGAGAAAATGATGGAAGAGTCCCTCTTACGAGGACAGAGGGAGTGTCGGTGAGGGACAACTACATAAGGGCAACTCTTGATTTTGATGGGATTTTCGCTTTATATTCTCACCCGAAAAACTTCACTGGAAATGCAAGCTGGATTAGTCCTCTGGTGTATATGCCGGATGATATTTGCCTAAAACTGGGCGTTGGTGTTTGCGGTTACAACAGTATCTGTACGCTCAAACCAGATAAAAGGCCAAACTGCGAATGCTCAAAAGGGTTTTCTTTTCTTGATCCGAAGGATATATACCGAGGCTGCAAACCCGATTTGAGCCGGAAATCTGTGACACGCGTGGAATCAGTATTATTAGGTACCTCTATCTTTGTTAATGTTGTCTTAACTTCTGCTCTCTGTCTCGGTTTTTTCTTCATTTTCCGGAAGAAACCTGCAGGACCTAGTTCATCCAAAAATTGAAGACAATTAATGCATACATGCGTACATGTGCGTGTGTTACACTGATTGCATATGTTGCTAGCTAATTGTTTATGATGCAGCAGATAAATGGTTTTGGATTGGCATTTCTATAGCTGCTGCTCTAGTGCTTTGCACCGCGTACTATCTACTCCGACGAAGAAGATCAGCCCTTGCATCAGCTGGTATATTTCTTTAAATCATGTGCACCAGTAAGACAGGATTATTATTCACATCTTTGACTATTGTTGTCTCCATTGAAACTTTAATTTCTTATAATTGATCTGTATAGGTGAGAACCGGACAGAGATTGAGAGCGAAATGCTTAACTTCATGAAATCTAATCGACCTACTGATGATGTTAATGGTCTCCGAAATGATGGAAAGATAGGACATCATGATTTAAGCATTTTTAGCTATTCAACCATCGTGGCTGCCACAAGCAACTTTGCTGAAGAAAACAAGCTAGGAGAAGGAGGGTTTGGACCGGTTTTTAAGGTAACATTTTGAAAAAACAAAAATTTCTGCTTCTAATTCAAAAGCTGTTGAAAAAATTAAAAAAAAAAAAAGGAATTAGCTTCATTTACCTAAAGATGACAGCAAAAACATGATATGGATTATTAATTCAGGGGAAATTGGCGATGGGACAAGAAATAGCTGTGAAGAGGCTTTCGAAATGTTCAGGGCAAGGAACATCAGAATTCAAGAATGAACTGATACTTATATATGAACTCCAACATACAAACCTGGTTCAGCTTTTCGGATTTTGCATTCATGGCGAAGAGATGATGTTGATATATGAGTATCTGCAGAACAAAAGTTTGGACCACTTTTTATTTGGTGAGGAACCAAGATACTTGATTTCATTTGTTAAATTTGCTATCTGACTTTTATTTTACTGTCAAAGTTCATATATTACTACTATTAATTAATATTAGTCCTACTTAACTCTACATATTGGACAGATCCAACCAGAGGTCGACTACTAGATTGGAAGAAGCGTTTTAGCATTCTCGAAGGAATTGCTCAAGGGTTGCTTTACCTGCACAAATACTCAAGAAAGAAAGTAATTCATAGAGATTTAAAAGCTAGTAACATACTACTTGATGAAAACATGAACCCAAAAATTTCAGATTTTGGTCTGGCAAGGATTTTCACCCAAAATGAATTGGAAGCAAACACTAGCAAGATTGTTGGGACACGGTAAGTATTTCTGCATCACATTGACATGGTCTTCCCCTTTTGATTGCTAAACACGCATTTTTGCAGATAAGTATACTGACTATTTTATCTTTTTCATTTGGTGCAGTGGTTACATGCCTCCAGAGTCCATGGAGGGAATTATTTCTGTTAAGTCGGATGTCTACAGTTTCGGGGTATTGATACTTGAAATCATAAGTGGAAGGAAAAACAACAGCTTCTACAATGACGATCGTGCGCTCAATTTAGTAGGATATGTATGACAAACAAATATCTCTCTTAAAATTTATAATCATATTTTTCTTCCTTAGAATGAAATGCAATCCTTGTTCTTCAGGCATGGGAGTTATGGAAAGAAGGTGCAGGGCTAGAATTAAGGGATCCAACATTAGGAAATTCGTTTATTAAAGAGCAACTGTTAAGATGCATCCATGTCGGTCTGCTTTGCGTGGAAGAAAATGCAGCAGATCGGCCTACCATGTCTGATGTCATATCTATGTTGACAACTGAAAGCTTACCATTAGCATCACCAACAAAGCCAGCATTTTTTGTTGGAAGGAGAACGGTGGAGGCTGGTATAAGTGGGAATCAGCAACTTGAAATTGCTTCAGCAAACCACATGTCCATTTCTGATTTTGAAGCACGTTAATTAAAGGTAAAAATCATAACTACACTTGAACAAGTGTTTTGCTTCTGCTTAATTAACGGCCACGCTGTTTTTGTAAATGTAGAAGGGTATGCATCAACTGGAGTTGGCTGATGGCTTTTGGCACCTTTCAAGATACTTGAGAAGTTTTAGAATTTAATTTGCAGAGGGTGCTTGCTTCTGTAGTCCCTATATAAAATAAAATAAAATAAAAATAAAACTAGATGCTCATATATTACCTTTGAATTAAGGATATGTGATGATGATCCATGAAGTACTGTGATATATAAAATAGAGTACTGTGATATATAAAATAGTATGTCTTTCATTCAATTAAAAAATTTCGTATTGTTTGATAGAACGAGAAAACTTTTGATAAGCATATGTCTAAAACACTCAAAACGTTTATGAGTTAAACAGTTATCCATGGAACGTATATTATATATAGCCCAACATACGGTCTCTAAAGTTTTAAGTAATACATCCTTGCTTCACTGTTTAACTCATAAAACCTCACCTCTCCATCCAAGTCTCTCGCCTCTCCCCATCCCATGCTTAATCTTGAAACTTCTCCATCCAAAACTAGTGTATATTAATTGCATTGCTATAGTCGAAGTCGTCCCTAGCTATAAAAAAGAATTACTATGTAAATTAGGATTTGTTTTTATTTTATGTTTTATATAAAATTGGGGAGTAAAGTTACTTGAGTTACAATCACTTTACGAGTTATAGATCAACCGTTCGATTTCTCTAATATTATAAAGAATATATCTTAAACGCTTATCGTTAGTCAAAAATACTGAAGGTCTAGAATTTTTTGAGTCATAGTTTCCAAGAATTTGTTCAATTGAATCTTCCTAGTATTGAAACTAGATTGTTTTTACCTTTCGTATTAAAATGATGTCATGTCACATGACCTTATTGATTTTGTATATATTTTTTTAGGGTGTGTTTGATTCAGGAATTATGTCATGAAACCAAACTCAATATTAGGTCAAAAATCTAGGACGCCGTTTGACTCCCCATATTCCCAAAAAAAAGTCTTATTTCTCATGTTAAACAAAAAAAGTCTTGCATATGACAGATACGTTAAGAAAAATAAAATTGGGTGATGTGATTTACGTGGGAAAGAGGTTGTGAATTCAATCACTATTGACCGCCCAATCTTGATATCCTCAAATATTAGGATAAGTACATGCTGATTGATATCTGAGGATGATAAAGTTATTTTAACATGCATGCAAATTAAAATATGTAATTAGAAAGAAATATGTCAATGCAGAAACGTGTTCAGAGCATACAACTAATCAATAATAATGTGAAAGAATTATTATAAAAATGTATAAACAAAGGAATGGGTCATACGCTAAGAAGACTCAAAAATACCTACGTGGAAGTGCCCTGACACCGAAATCGGATGCCTCGATTCTAACTCATGAAGAGGGCGCAAAACAAAGGATGAATGGACCAAAGTTTATAATATTAAAACTAATAATAAGAAAATCATTTTCTTTCTGAACATACTAACCTCCTGTTTTGAAAATACATATATAATACTACATAGTAGGTTTTCTGAAACTCTAGCATGCCATTAAAAATATTCGTAAAGCATGTACGTGTAAACCAGTACTTAGTAATGGTAATATAGTCGACCAAAGGCAAATCCATAAAACATCCGTAAATCACATCAATGATGTACTCAACTAGGGGTATCATAGTCGCTCGAAAATATAACCATTACCCGAATGTGAAGCTATATAACACTGGATTACACTTATGAAGAAATATTGTAGATCTCATCACCCGAAGGTGAAGCTTCCTACGATACGTGGAAGCACTGATTAAATTGAATAAAAGAATAAAAGTTAATAATTACACCTATAAACCTAAAACCGTGTGTGACTACCCCCTATGAAACCTAAATAATAAAATATTTAAACCTATAGACTGTTCCTAGGAAACCTAGGAAACGTGTGCAGAACTTTTACTAAAGTAAACAATTTATTTAATATTTATTAACTATTGTTTTTTCTAAAAGTAGTCTTAGTATTCAGAATTTTTGCGGATGAGGATTCTATTGGGATTCTGTTTGTAGGAATTCTGAGGATCTTTAGATCATTGTACATCGTGTAATTAATTTTTTATAAATATTATTTGTATTTAAATTTAAATAAATATATTTAAAATAATTTTTGACCGCACGATGTATGATAAAAGGTTAAGATGTGAGGATTCCCACAACTTGAATTCGGATGGGATTCAAATCTAACTTTTACTTATCGGGTGGGCTATAACAATTAAAAATAATAAAATAGTCAAAGTTATTAGTATTTTTAAGCTCAAACAACTAAAACTGATCAAATGAAGAAATTTTGAAGTAATTTTAATTGTAGTGGATTCATGAGAGATAATTGTATTAAAATTTTAAATTTTCTTTTTAAGCCGTTTGACTGTGATGAATAAAAGAAGGTTGACTGCATAGTACTGCCAGTTTGATGCTTTGGGCTTAATTGGGTTACGTTGGTCAAGATGGTAATTTTCAATCTAAATATTACATATGAATTGCATAGGATTGTTAACTCACAGATAATGGGTAAAACCACGTAGAATTGTTAATATGCGGCTAAGCTCTAGTGCCCTTTACAATTGATTTTCCGGAACCTGTTTGTTTACTTGTTGCCAATTTCAATCATTGTTAATATAGTTGTTTTCAATTTTATTTTATGTTTTTGTTATTTTGATTCACAATTTCGATCTTTTTTAAATCTTGTGTTTAATAGTTAATTAAGATTTAATTTTAAGTACAACTTATTTATATCAATTCTTGTGAAGAACGACTTTGCTTGAGTTATCTTATTCTCTTACAAATATTTTTTTAAATATTTTTTACCCTATTAAATCCTATCAGTTATTATCAAAAGACTTCTATACGGATTATCTGAACTGCATGTAATATCTTTTAATACTAATACAAGGTTTGTGAGTGCGACTTGCTGTGTGGATTCTTCTCTGGAGGAGACTGTTGTACGAAGAATTGCAGGTAAGGCATACAGAATCTATATATGTGTGCTTTTGATAACCATACAAGTCTAAAACATGTATGTAAATATTTGATATCTAATGTCTTGTCTAGTATCCCGTATGTGTGTGTATTTGTTTCAATGTTTTAAAAGGCTCGCCTCAGAACAAGCTTAGGCACCCTCTTAGACTGGACTTGAGGGTTGCCGTCTCTGTTTTGAGGGAGTGGGCCTAAGGCTTTGCCAGAGCTGCCTAGGCGGTGGAAGACGCGCCTCAGGGCTTTTTTATTTTTTAAACTCCCAAACCCAAATTTTGGGTAGGGTTTTAACTGCCCCATACCTCTTCCTTGCACTATCGTCTCTCTGAATTTTTTTATTTTTTTTTTCTGATTTTTATTTTTTATATAATGGATGTGTGTGCTGTCTGCATGTATTGTTATATGTGTGCTCATTGTGCTTTTCATCCTCTATTATATATATATATAATATAATATATGTCTATATATGTGTGTGTGTGTATATTTATAATATATGTGTGTGCTAAGGGTGAATATTGGTTAGTAATCTTTTTTGTTTTTTTAATATAATATATGTATACGTTCAGTGTATATATTAAAAAATTAAGGTTCCGTGAGGCTTCACCACACGCCTAGGTCAGACTATCCCTTAGACGCCTCGCCCACACCTCACACTTTTAATACACTGATTTGTTTACACTGCAATCACCTCTTAGAGGGCAATGCATGGTTCCTGAAGCGTGCAATGCATGGTTGATTAATTGCCTTTCGAGGTAGTTTGTACTGTTGAATCCCAGTTTTATCTTACAAAGCTCGATCGTACTAAAAGATTGGTCTCTGGCGAAATGAATGATAAGGATGCAGCACCAGATGCGCGAATTTTTTTTTTATTTTTTATGAGAATAAGTTCTTTTTAGTGAAACAATTCCAAGCATGACCAAGCGCCTATTGATTGAAGTGCTATTATGTTTAAGCACATAGTGCTTTTGCTAAAGTGTCCTTAAGTTTTAGATTGAATCAATTCGATTATCTCCAATTCCCTGAGTGGAGGGATTCCATTCTCCAATTTCTTGAGTGGAGAGATTCCATTCTCCAATTCCTTGTGGAGAGATTCCATTCCTCTGAACTTGTATAGTGCTGCAAGTTGCCTTGTCCAATTATGCAGAAAATCAGACAAAGATATTTACACAGCCGCTGACGGCAGCCTCACACCCTTCAAAGCTTTACCCATCCCGAGTGGCAATGCCGAGTCGTGGTTGCTAACAATGTACCTCGACGGAGAGCTCCAGATTACGGCGAGAGACAACGGCAGCATATTCGTGCTACTCACGGAAGGCCGTAGTCCCTCCTGAATCCCTGAACAAAGCTCACCAGAGCAACTTGTATCTTGTGTTTTATATATGTATGTACCTGTTCAAGGACATGAGAGGTAATTTTCTACATAGAAAATAATAAACACACACTTTTGTTATGTTCTGTCGGTTGTTTCCGTTTAGTTTATAGGCTAGTTTGAGATTGTGGTGCTTAAAAAAAAAAAAAAAATTTATTAAAAAATCTAAATATCAATTGTATTTGGCAAAATAAAAAAAAAATTTAAAAAAAAATAAAACTACTGTCAATGAGGATAGATTAACATAGAAAATCAAAAGCAAAGTCTATTATGTGTCTAAAAAAAATGTTTTTTATTCAAAGCATAGTAATCAGTGCTCATTTAATGAAATTTTCAAATAACAAGTATACCTCCACATATTTTACAAAGTTACAATATTTGTCCTTACATTATTATCTTTAACAATTATTATATCATATTAATTACCATATATTTTTTAGTCATTTAACGTATTCATAACAGTTTATATAAAAGTTACCAAACACTTGGTCACTGTTTTTTTTTTTTTAATTAAAAATTCTTTTACATAAAATAAAATTAAAAGTTTACCAAACACTCATCAACTTTATTTTATAACTGTTTATTCTCAAAGTATAGCAAAAACATTTTTTTTCTTCAAAAAAAAAAAAACACAGCAATACCAAACTAGTCATATATTATACTACTATATCCCTCAAATTTAAAAAAAATAAAATAAATAAATAATCGAGGCATGTGTTGCATGCTTTGCAAAGGTAGATGCTTGTGCGGATAAAGCATATTTAAAGGGGGTGCTAGAAATGGTAATTAACCTTTAAATATTCGGTCGTTTTATGCTTTATGATTCCAACATTCTCTGTTAATTAATCCATTAACTGAAAGGAAGTGTTATTATCACTTCAAAAATCTTATTCTACATTCCTCACAAGTGTATTTTTCGTTCTAAATATACAAAATTTGGAGTGTAGAATGCGAAATTTAGAGTGCCAATAACAATTCCTTAACTGAAATATGACTTTAATCCTTGAAACTTAATTTTCTCTACATAAAATCCGACGCAAGTTTTATACACGAATAAAACTCATTGACTAAACTCCACATTAACAAATTCATTAATTATATTTGACTTTACCCATATAAAAAATTTTGATGCCTAAAATACCCCTATTTGATTATTATTATTTTTGCACAAACGATATTATCTAGACCAAGGAGAGAGGGTTGGGCTTAGCCTCACAATTGGCTAGCAATAATGTGGTTCAAGCTCGTCTTTGGTGAAAATCGAACCTAAGACCTCTCACTTACAAGTGAAGAGGAATACTACTAAACCATGGTACTAAGTGGCTATTTGAATGTTTGATGTACACAATTAATTCCATCATGATTATAAGAGAGAATTAATGGTTTTACAAAAATCACAATAATAATGAATTTATTGCCTAATATATAATAACAATAAAACATGCCTAGTATGTAATAATGCATGCTTAGTTAAGTCAATAAAATTATATTTACATACAAATGTAGGTAAATTATTTCACACACACACACATATACATAACCAACAAAAAAAAAAAAACAACATGCCTGATATACATAAAAGTTCATGCAAAATAATTTACCTATATAATAAAGCAAACCTGATATATGCAAAATACATAAAAAATAATTTACCTACATAATAAAGCAAACACAATATATGCAACACAATTTACCTACATAATAAAGCAAATACAATATATACAGAATAATTTACCTACATAAAAAATATTATGTTTTATTCAATACTAGTTTACCTATTATTTGTACATATAATAATAAAATGTGATGATACATACAAAACAAAATACCTATATAATGAAGGTTATTTACTCATCATAAATTCACATATAGGTAGATTAATTATTATAATATGTTTGAACATATATGTAGTGTGCATACATACATACATACATACATATATTTGAACGTATAGTAGTACTATATATAGGTAAACTATATATATACACATATATATATCGAGTTTATGGTAGTACTATATACATTTGAACGTATACATATATATTTTAGGTGTAATAATATGTGCAATTTGTTCATTGTAATTAAGGTGAGTAATAACATTTATTGATATATTTTGTGTATTGTGGTACAAGTTGTAAATATTTTGTAATAATAGGTCAGTTACTTTTCTATTTGGGAGTTTTTTTAAATTTGGGTTTTATTTGAATGTTTATAACTATATGGGTTTTTGTTTAAAAAATAAGAGTTGCAAGGATCTATATCTAAATAATTCATCGCAAAGCAAAAGCATATATTAAGTACGTTGAAGCTGTAAATCAAAGCGAAAACCACATTGACATTACACGGCGCTAAGCTAGTAACCTTAACTCTTCGATCCTTTATGCTTTATTATTCAACATTTTTTTGTTACTTAAGTAAAGCATATAGTAGCAGCAGTAGCAGCTAGCATATAAATCAAAGCAACAACTGCCACATTACAAGCCCCAACCTATCTTGTACACTACAAATGGAGTACTGGAAAACGCTAATGGTTCAGCCGGATCAAAACGTGGTCCAGCCGGATCAGAAAGAGAGAGACGATAGGTTAAGACAAATGAAAGACTTGAAAAGTCCCTACAAAAGTGCCATGGAGGAGAAATGGGAAGACGTGACGAAATACTTCGAGGGGAATGCGGAAAAACTGCTCTATAATATGACAGTGGAGGGGGACACTGCATTTCACCTTGCGGCTTCTCGCAGCAGCAAATCACAAGGCACAGAAGTCCTCCAAATGTTTATCAATATACTCAGGAATTCAACCAACCATGACGTGAAATGCGCTCTGAGGCTTCCGAATAGCTTCGGAAACAATACTCTCCATGAGGTGAGTGTGTCCGGCAATGAGAAAGCGGCAAAGTACTTGTTGAGCAACTTCAACGATCCTGTTCCGGGAGAGGGTGTCACCATCAGTACTAGTAGTACAGATAAAGACTGCGATATGAAGCTGCGTGAGGTTCGGGATTTAGAGAATTCTAAGGTGCAGCTGCTGGAGACTCGGAACTATTTAGGAGAAACTCCTCTCTTCAGGGCGGCTGCTCTCGGTCACACTGACTTGGTCAAGTTTTATGCCAGCAAACTGCCGCGGGACAATCCTTGGAAGCACTTCCACAGAGATGACAAAAAGTCCATTCTTCATTTGGCAATCATTGCACAACATTTCGGTCACTCTCTTTCTCTCTCCCTGAGAAAATGCACACAATTATTTGTAGTGCAGATTAATAGCTTTTGCTCTTTTGTCTTCCACAATGCAGAAATTGCTCTTTGGTTACTGGACAAGTACCCATATCTAGCGTCCCTAAGGGAAGATCGAAATTTGACAAGCCTTCAGTTGCTGGCCCAAATGCCAACTGCCTTTGTGCCACATTTTGAAAAAATCAAATGGAAGATGCTAATTTATAATTGTACGTGCCATTACTCTACGAACTGCTATATGTGTGCGCTCGTACGCATGCTATATATACACACAGAAACAAACATTTTTTTAAAGGAGTTTTAACGAAACACTCTTGGTACTGTTCACTTTTAACGAAAAACCATATTTTTACCTTTCCTGATACTATTCACTTACATATTTATTTGTCATTTTGTCATTAAAACTAAGTTTTTTAGAATTTTTCGTTAGTTTTCCATTTTTTAATGGAGCAGTAATCTCATACTTAATGTCGTTATATATGCAGGCCTTCCTGATGGAGGATATGTGGTCACACCAAATCAGAAGGATGATGTGGAGAGCAGCATGGATAGCAACCATCCCCGTCAATCCATCTTTCGGAACAAGCTTGCAGGTAATCAAATTTGTAATCTAATTAATTGATCGAACAATTAAACGGCTACCAAGAGCATAAAGCGTTTCTTCAATTGGATTTTTTCAATGTTCCTAACCAAGTTGCATGCATAAAAATGTTTTGCAGTTGTCATGAAGGCTTACTATTCATTATTGGACTCCCTTGCTAAAGGTCTGTTACTTTCTGCCTTTACCTCAGGGCATTTTCATCAAGGCGAACTCGTGTTACTGAAATCTACAAAACACATTAATTACTCATTCCTTATGATTACATGAGAAGATGAAGAGTGCATGATAACTTCTTTAGAGTACCAATAATATCTCCCGGTGACCCGTTAGTTAATGTATACATATGCTTGATTATTTGATGGACAGGAACTGGAGGCCCGCTTGTTGAGATAATCTACATGATATGGAAGGAGAAGAAAAACAAAAAATCACTGAAGAAACTCATCGGATTGCTCGTCGAGTTGGACGACCCTTATTGGTTGATTACTAACAAGAATACAAAAATCAGGACCATTTCTCTAGGGACCAAATCGGATACGACAAATGGTGATAACGGAGGTGACAAAACCGAATCGGATAGATGCGAAAAAGATAAGGAAGTAACCAAATTGAAAAAGGAGGCGAGGAATGAAGTTTACAACACTACCCCATTGCTTATAGCAACTATCACAGGATTTTTACCCATTGTGCAGGAGATACTTGAACAGCGTCCTCAGGCAGTCGAGCAAGTTAACGAAAACGAACGCAATATTTTGCATCTGGCCATTAAGCACCGTAAGAAAGAGATCCTTGATCTTATCCAAAGCAAACCAACACTGATGTCGAAGCTGAAAAAGAGGATAGACCACACGGGAAACACCATATTGCACCAGGCTGCAGATAGGACTTACTACTCTATAGCGTTGTCTCAGAAATTAATAGGCCCTGCAATGCAATTGCAAGAAGAGCTGCGCTGGATGCTGGTAATGTTCTTTTGCTAGACTTATGTCGTTACACAAATATTTGTATTACTGATTAAGTCTACGGGCCTTATAAAATACTTATGTTGTTAGACAAATACTTTTATTACAAAAATCCATACGTTGACATGATGAATGTGTACGTGTGTTTGTATCAGCATATAAAAGAGATGCTACCCCCTCATTACATCATGCACCACAACGACAACGATCAGACCGCGGAGGAGTTGTTCAACGCTGGGCATGACGAGCTTCTGAAGTCCGCACAAGAATGGGTAAAACAAACGGCTCAATCATGCTCAACCGTGGCGGTGCTAGTGGCCACTGTGGTCTTTGCAGCCGCCTACGCCATTCCTGGGGGTTTTAACGACAAAAGTGGCCGTCCTGTTTTCCAAGACAATCCTCTTTTTTTGCTCTTCACCTGCATGGACGTTGTGGCAATCGCCAGCTCATTATCTTCTGTGGCATTCTTTCTCTCGGTCCTCTCCTCCCCTCTCGAGTACCCATATTTCGTTAAAAGCATTCCTCACAAGGTCATGCTGGGATTCATCTTGCTCTTCTTCTCCATGGCAACCACCATGCTCGCCTTTGCTGCCACTATTTTGCTCTTGATTCGCGTGAAGAAGAAATGGACCATGTCTCTACTTTACCCTATTGCCTTTTTCCCGGTCCCTCTGTTCGGCCTGCTTCAGTTTCCTATGTATCAATGTTTCAAAGTCATGTTTCGGAAAATTGATGCCTGCTTTTTCAAACCCTTAGGCCGCACTCTTGGCTTTCACAAGAAGAGATCAATTTGGGGCTAGAATAAGGCGTATTGAATCATATAACTTTTCGTCACAGCACAACATGCGTTGTAGATTTACCATCTTGCAACACCAGTATTTATATATTGTTCTCATTTGTATATTTTGGATTTTTCTTATTTCCTCCCTTATTTTAACAATGTTATTGTCACGCCCCATTCCCGAGATATGTCCAGGATCGACACGTGATGTCTCCACATACCTTTTCTCCTTTCATGCCCCGCCTCTGAGATATGATCAAAACACTAATCATTGTGTCAAAGGTATAGTAATTTAGTTTTATCATATGGCTGCATTTAACCTACGTACCCTAAGACGGATCAAGCCATTCATAGTTCACCATTTCAATAAACTTCTATCACCATTGCAAGTCATTACTACATACATGTAATCAGAATAACTAACATAAACGGTATACTTTCTTTGTATAGCTTGTCTAGGCATACAAGACATATACATATAGCTTCAAATCATGAATCATCAACTTGATTTTGGTTTCAGTGTATGCAGGCATATAGACATTTACACTTAATAGAACATCCATTGTATCATTTAAACAAACAACATGATACGTATAAACATGAAGTACTTAATCGAATAATAATCACACCAAATTGGATCTGTCAACTATTGATATCTATACCAGCCATAACCTTACTAACCAATAACGTTAGATATAATTATAGTCAACTACAATAAACATACCCCTTTCAACTTGTATGCTAAAATATAAAGCCAATAGTACATATAAAAGCAACAATATAACTATAAGCTGATAATAACTAGCTAGACTAGTTGTAGCAAATAGAACGGTTCGTTATAACTAATCCAATTGGAGTACATAACGAAAATGAGTGAGGAAGATATGTATATAATTTGATACATAGGCAGATAAAACTAGCTCCCTATATTTTCTCTTTGTAAGTAATAGTTTGAAAACAACCACCTCACATTGAATCCAGTATATTTATAACTTCACTAAATTTTATAACATTTATTTGCACTAGTTAATCAAATAAGCATGCCAAACAAACAACAAAGAACCCGACCCGCCATATTAAATTGGTCTTGAACTCAGAAACATAGCAATGTATTCAATTAGAGAATAGGTATAATGTTTGATAATCCATTAATCTTAATCAAGGAACTAGTTCTCAGGCCTTAGGATAACATGCAATCCCTAAACTATAACATTCGTATAATTATTCGTAACTAGTACACCAGCCCAACCATATCAATGATCCTTAATAATTATCATAGAAAAACCAAACTGTTCATCCCAGTGCCTCAAAATAAAAATGTAAATTCCTAGCAGTCTTAAGTTCTTCATCCGCTGAAAGAATGAAATAAAGAAGCACCAATAAACCCAGGGCCAAAACAAGAGTCATATAATACTCTAATAATAGCATTGTCCAATCAAATATTCAGCATCAGCATCTGGCAATGCCATGGGAAAAATATAGAATCACTCGGTAGTTTTAGAACTCTAATTAAGTGCACAAACCTAGTCTGCAACACATACAAATTCAGCAATGTTCTTTTCAGTGCATAAAGGGTAGGACAAATATGACACACAAAATATTCAAATGTATCTGGCCTCGATTATGGAATAACATTAATGTTTATAACACATACCCAACCCTTAAACTTCTAAAAAGAGCCGAAATGAGGTTAGGATTTCAAGGTTCTTCCCTATATGCATCATCTCAAATATGCATACAGAATATCGAATTAAAAATCGAAATCATGAATTGATCCCAAAACACAAAGTTTAAAACCTTGGGAAAATACTTACGCTAGAGGAAAGCCCACGAAGGGAGAATCATTGAGGCCAGATTCCAGCGGGATTGGCCGAAATCAGAGAAAAGTAGCCGGAAAACGTCAATATGTTTGGACCTCGTTTTCTTTATACAATGGTTTTCAAAGGGTGGGTATGGTATGAGATAGAAGATCGCTTCGCTACGAAACTATAGCTTCCGACCTCGTGTGATTTCGTTACTGTACGAGGAAATTAGGATGAAAATAGTTTGAAAGGTGTGAAGTGAGTAACGGAGGAAGAAAGAAGAAGAAAAGGCTTCCTTTTTTTATTATTTTATTCTATCATTAATATTTTTATCTAGTGCTGATATCTTTTCCTCTACTTTAAATTGGGGTGTGTGGATTATTCACACATTCCATTTTATTTCTCACAAATTCCTAAATAATTTATATTCGTTGATTTTCTTCAATTTATCTGATCCGACAATTGAAAATTAAAAAGGTATGTGAGAAGTAAAATGGGATGTGTGGATATCACACCCCTTTAAATAAAATGATTGATACGTGTTTCATAAAATCTTTTTTTAAGTTTTAATTTTCGCTACGCTTATGCTTAATCGTTCATAATATCGAGTACTGTCAGAATATACTAATCAATATGTCACACAAGTCCTGACTAGCAAGCCAATGAAAGTCGACACATACCCTTAGCATTTTGAATGTTTCACATTAAAAAAAATAAACAATAATAAAATTCTAAACGGGTTGTAATAGTTATTGTGTCTTCATTCACAAGTATGGACAATAGTGAAGAAGGCTTGTAAAAAATTGTGTGCTAAAGATTGTCTCTTGCCTGCTTTTATTGATTTGTAATCATCCTCTGTGTTTATGTTCCTTAATTAAGTGATGGATTATTTTGGTAAATAAAGTCTTTTTCTTCTATCCGGGGTTCAAACTCTATCCTCTCATCTTCGTGTAAATTAAAATAATGATATCACTTGTAATAAAATTAAAAAATTAAAAAATAAATCATAATTAAGCATAATCCAGTTGGTTAGACAAATATGCTTCTCTTATACACCAATACTCGCATCCTCCTCAGTGATAATTAAGAGATAATACTTGGCCTTCACAATTGGTCTGACCATCCATCCAGCATGGCGACTTCACAATATTTATCTCAGCTAAAAAGGAGAAAAATATTTGTAATAATGAGTGCATTTTTGCTCACCCTATAAGATAGGGGTGATGCTTCATTGATTAGTGTTAGATTAATTTGGTTTAATTGATTTAAGATACAAATTTTAAATTTAAACTAATCTAATAACAACCAATGAGAGTATAAGATTTGAACTCAGAGAGAGAGATGAGTGAAAAGAGAAGGAAGGTGACGCGTGGCCTGGGATATCTCTGTTGGGCGGCGTAGAATCCTCGGGCAACTATTACAGGAATTGTGCCGGTTGTGGAGGAGATTCTTGAGCAGAGAATCCTCAGGTAGTCAAGCATGTTAACTATAACGAACGCACCATTTTTCTTTTCGAAATTAAGCACCGTCAGAACCCGACTCTTAAGCTTATCAAAAGCAAACCTACCGTAAGTTGAGAAAAATTAAAATACACAGCTTTAACACAAGTATTGGAAAGACAAAGCAAGTAAACAAATTACTTGTATTACACTAACAAAATATTCTAACACAACTCTCATCAATGACGCAATATATTATTACACTTGCAAGACGACGCCTGCTTCTGCAGCTCTGCTTGCCTACTTTTTGGTTCTACTCTCTTGCTCCTAATTCTTCTTAGTTTCTTACCTTTTGCTTAATTACTTACATAGCACTGCACCTTATATTTATACATGGCATAACCGATCTAGCCTAAGTCCGTGCACTTGGCTTTGTATTACTAATTAGAATTTTCACTAACATTCCATTACAACAATCTTAAGATATTTTATTTAGATAATTCACTAGAATTAACTAGCATTTTCAATGTGCGTGCACTACCATTTTCATTGTTGCTTGCTAGAATCTTCTAGACAGATCTTATGCAATTCATCTCTTCATTATCTGTGAAAGGGGGCAAAGAGTAGGAACTAGAACAATGTAGTTCTTTTGTACCGACTGAGTTTAATAGGTTGGTGTTAATCTTTAACACTGTATTTGTCAAGGCTGAATGAGAGGATCGACTGCGATGGAAACATCATATTGCACCAGGCTGCAGATTGGAGTTTCTACTCTATAGCATTGTCTTAGAATTTAATTGGTCATATCGTGCAGTTGCAAGCAAGGCTACGCTGGTTTTGGTATTGTTCTATTGCTAGATTTATGTTGTTAGACAAATACTTACGCTACTATTAAGTTTTTTGACTTGATAAAAGTGAAGAAAATTAAGGTTGTATCAGAAAACTAATTGGTAATATGGGGAATAACCCAACTTATTTATAAGCCCATGCAATGTCCCTCTTCACATCAATGTGGAATCTCTTCTCAACACGCCTTTCACGTGTGGCGAATTTTGGACACGGGGTGACGCGGAGCACATGTGGCTATTTGGCTTCACACATGGGACAACCTATGCTCTGATACCCTGAAGAAAGTTGAGGTTCTACAATAAAACCAATTGGCAATATGAGCAGTAGTCTAACTTACTTATAAGCCCATGCAAAGTCCATCCTCTTATTAATGTGAGATTCATTCTCAACAAAAAGAACTATGTGGTCAGACGAATGCTTATGTTACTAATTAAGTCTAAAGACATGATGAATGACTTATGTTGTCAGATGAATACTTATGTTACCAAGTATATGTTGGTCAACTTGATAAATGTGTACCGTGTTGTGTCATCCTGTGGCAGAGATATTACCACCACATTACAACATGCACCACAACAACAAGGATCAGGCAGCGGAGGAGCTGTTCTACTAAAGCACAACGACCTTCTAAAGTCGGCGCAAGAATGGATAAAGGAAACGGCCGAGTCATGCTCAACCGTGGCGGTGCTAGTGGCCAACGTGGTCTTTACAGCCGCCTACGCCATTCCTGGGGGTAATGAACAAAGTGGCCGTCCTGTTTTTTTCAGGACGATCCTCCTTTTTGCTTCACCTGTATGGACGTTGTGGTCATTGCCTGCTCATTGTCTTCTGTGGCTTTCGTTCTCTCTGCCCTCTACTCTCCACTCGAGTACCTGCTTTTCATAAGCAACCTTCCTCCAAGGTCATGACTGGATTCTTCTTGCTCTTATTCTCCGTGGTAACCACCATGCTTGCCTTTGCCGCCACCATTTTGCTCTTGATTTGCGTCGCGAAGAAATGGACCTAGTCTCTAGTTCACCCTAATGCCTTTTTTCCAGTCCCCCCATTAGGCCTGCTTCAGTTCTTTCAAAGTCATGTTTCAGACAGTTGATGCCTGGTTTTTCAAACCATTACTCCGCTTTCTTGGCTTTTCCAAGAGGAGATATGGGGCAAGAGTGATCACATAAACTTTTTGTCGTGGCAGAATGTGTGGTGCAGATTCACAATCTTGCAACATAAGTTATTGTTAGATTTGCAGGTACCATTTGAATATTTCAGTTGGGTTCTTCTTTCTCCCCAATATAATGTCACAATTTGTTGTGTCTTCATTTTAATTATGGGCAAATTGGAAAGAGCAATGTGTTTCCTTCTCCGCACTCAAGTTTGAATCCACTTTCCAAAGTTTGGATTGGATTAGATATTTAGAATTTGCGCCAATAATTTGAGTTTATACAAAAGACCAAAACAGAAAAGTCTGAAATTGAGAATAATCTCATCAGTTAATGGAATTTACATAAGGTCAGAGCAAACTTAATGAATCACCTCGAGTATAAGCCCACGATGCTCATCCGAATTCATTGAAACATAATAATTCAAGAGGCTATGAAGATCCTTAGGCTCTTCTATCCGGTTTGCCACTATCATCACCGCCATGGACTCCCTGAAATCCTCCTTCGGATCATAAGAACACTTCTCCATTGCAACCATTACAACAAATTTAGTCCCTCCTCCTGCTTGAATTTGATCATGATCATCACCAGCTCTCTGCTCTCTTCTCCGATGATCAACGTGCCTCGAGCCCTCCTGCCTTTCCCTGATCATCTGGTCGTGTCTCTCTTGAACCATGGCATGCGATAGGCTTGATATCGAAGGGTACCTATCAGAACTAGAGCTTGCTACTTCCTCCAAGCAAGACGAAGACATGCTAAGCCGGCTGCTGCTGCAACACAATGCCCTGCATACTCTCTGTTACTGCTTGGAGGAGGCTTTCGTTTTAGACATGGTTTGAGTTGGAGCTTTGATGGAAGTTTTGTGCCAAATTTGTCATTTATTCACACTTGGCAACTGTGGGGTTTGTTAATCATGATTGTGTCTTGTGTCTTACAACATTTTAATAGATGAGTTGGTGAATGCAAGAAGGCAAATGGGGAACGTTCTTTTAGTTAATCGAGCCAGTAATCATGATGCTTAATAGTTTTACTTTATAGGTCTAATTACTATCAGTTGGCACATCCCTTTGACGGGTTTGGTTAACATGAAAAAGTAGCGGTTCCATTTCCCTGAGAGCTTGTTTGGAAGGCTCTGTTTGGTTAACAGATACAAATATTTTTTTTGGAAAGTCACTTTGAAGTGTATCTTCTTGAAGAAAAAGAAACATAACGTGTCCTTCTCTAGAAAGTGCTTTATGATCCATTAGCACTTTTGACATTTCCTATCAAATGAAGTCGTAAGCTCTTGATTGTCAAGAAGACTTAAAAAGCATTTGGAAGAGTTTTCTAAGTAAAGTTTTGACGTGCTCAACCTTACAAATGGCCGTGTTTGGTCAATTTCATCATGGGAAACTAAAGACAACAGTGCGCCGGGGCCTTTCACGTTTGATTGGGACCCTGACGAACACCAATTGAAGATCAAGAAAGGAGAGGTGATTTTTTGGACGAGTGGTGTATTCACAAGTAGTACTAATACATTTGAGTATATTTTGCCTGAGGAGTCCAAGCTGAGGTATAATTTTAGCATTGTTTCAAATGAGAATGAAGACTACTTGACTTACACTGCTCTAGATCTCGATCAAGGTTCAGAATGGGTGCTGAACAGCCTGGGGAGACTTGGCAGCCGAGACTTTGAAATTGCACAAGCTAAGAATTGTGACGGCTATAACGCCGGTGGAGGGTGCGTGAGAAGGGACCGGCCACCGAATTGTTGGAAAAATTTGGTGATGAATTGGAGCTCAAAAATGTTTCCTTATACACCTCAACATCCCCTACTGATTTGGTAGTGATACTAGAAGCAGCAGTGGTTGTAAGTGTGAGACTTTGTCTCTTCAAGCTATTAGTGACGATATATAAGCATCAGAGTTTGATATTCAGGTGTGCATTGTGTGTTGTACTCTATGAAAAAGGGTTCTAGTATGCTATTAAGACATGTCTTGTGGTGTGGATTGATATTTTGCAATGAAATTAGCTTGGCACAAAGGATGTGGAGGTGTTTTCCTCCTCAAAATATTTCTTGAGAAGTTCATGGAATTTTGTGCTTATAATTGGAGCCGTTAATGTTAAAAAAACATTATATAAAGATCATTTATGCAACACATCAATTAAAAATAAGTCTGTTTAGTTATTCAACTATAGCAAATAGATAAACGGTTCGTAATGCATCCACAAGTTTTTTTTTTTTATACAATTCGGTGACTTTAGATCTCATATTTTATTATTTTTTCTACAGAGATAATTTTTATAGAATAATTTATAATATTAACAATTTTGATTATAAACAAAAAAATTTATGAATTGACTATGCATCATTTTGAGAAGGAATTTCTCATTTTTAAGTAACCAAGCTATTTTCTCCCTTACATTTTCATAAATAAAGAGCATTTTTGGATTACACCACATATTTTGTCAAATTCAAAGACCGTAATTAATGGAGTCTTAGTTCAAGGCCCAAATCAAAATTATAGTAAAAATTAAGGGACGAGTTCTATTTTATACTCATGTTGGGCCTCTCTTAGAAACAAATTGGGCCGTTGTGGCTATTTAATTTGGGCCATAACCCAAACTATAAAACAAAGCCCAAATCAGAAATTATTTTTCTTTGTCGGAAAGCCCAAAGCAGAATCCAACACCGTAAACAAAACTGAAACCCAAAACGCATTTAGGTTGATTTGGTATTGCTGTTCTTTGAAAAAAAACTTGATATGAGAATAAGTAGTTGTGAAATAAAGTAGCAGAATGTTTAATAAATTTTTTTGTAGCTTTTGAAAAAAAAAAAAAATATTTTTATAGTGTTTGATAAACTTTGATGTAAAACAGAAAAAAAAAAAAGTTGATTTTTACAGCTTTATATATATATTTTTTTTCTTTCAAAATTATAAGAAAAAGTTGAAGCTGAATTTTTTTTGTAGCCACTTTTTCAGTACCAAACTAGGCTTCTTCAGAGGCTGGTGGGCGTCCTCAGTCACAGCGAACAAAGAAGAAGCTCCCCACAGACAACCAAAACACAAAAAGAAAAGAGAGAAGAGCAAGAGAGAGATACCGAAGGACGAGAAGAGAGCAGACTGGCGTTGATCGTACGGTCCAGATCCACTGGTTTTCGGGATCAGACGACCCGAAGCCATGGCTTCCAAAGGTCCAAGGTCCAAGCTTGATCATGAACCCAGAGCCAAGCGCCAAAAGGTTAGCTTTCCTATATTTTACTCTGCATTTTTCCGAAAGTTTAGTTTTTGTTGAGCTAGGAATTAATAAATAAATAATAGTTTTTTATTTTATTTTATTTTTTATGAAAAATATTGTTTTTTTATAATCCTACTGTGTTTAAGCGTTGTTGAAACTTTCAACCTGTGATTATATTGGTTAGAAGTGGATTTTGATGTTTATTTTACCTTTTTTTTTCTGGTTTTTTGAACCTTGTATAGCAGTTTAGTGGCTTGAAATTGTAGTTTTGAGTAATTGTAATTCATGAATTAATCACTTTTCTGGTAATTTAAGGCTCTACTGGTTTTAACGGTTTTTTTATTTTAATTTTTTATTTTTATTTTTTCCGGAAAATTTCGCTGGCGTTTGGTATAATTATGGAGAATTCTTTCCGGGAGACGTGTTCGTTGAGTGTGTGGTTGTGTCGAGGCTTAATGCATGGACCGGAGGATGTTTGAGCTTTTGTTTTGTTTCGAGTGAACAACGTTCAGGAAGCAATGAGCTGAATGTGTGCAAAAACGCTGCTGATGTTCAAGAATCTTTCGATATTTGCATTTCGTTCATACGCAATCATGCCTTAGTGACATATATGTATACACCTAGAGTGAAACTGGCCCGAACTAAAATTAAGGTAGAAGAAATGAAGGGTTATGATGAGGTTTAATGATTGAGTTGGAGTTAATCCCCACCCCCCACCACAACTATTTTGTGAACTCTCAGTTTTTTTTTTTCATGGAATCTGAATTTGGGAATTGGAGGTCCCAAGTTTTTTCTTTCCATGCGGAAATTCTAAATTTCTATGTGTATGAATCCAAACAAGGGAATTGATGCATGTCAATTTATAAATTCTGATTTTGTCAAAATTCGAAGTTTATTTCCCTTTTCCAAGCATAGTATTAGAGAATTTTTGGTGCTCATGAGGATTTACTGCTTTTTAGATGCAGCAAGCTTCTATTTAGACCATGTAGAGTCAGAGTGAAGATTAAACATTACGGATGGCATGCTACTCTATTAGCTTAAACATACCTATATTTAGTCATTTCCTTTCAGGTTTTGTACGCTGAAATATTTCCTTCACTAAGAACTTTGGAACCTGATTGCAAACAGGCAACGTTGTATCTGTCTTAGAAAGTGGTTTATGGCTTGTCAGTGGCATTTAAGGGTGCATATTCTGTCTCTCTTGTTTTTGGCTTCCACTGTGTGGGATGGATGCTTAAAAGTCTCAGCCTATGGTCCATCTTGATATAAGTAAAATAAAACTTCAGTTTCGTCACATGGTTTAGAGCATGTAGTGGTTTCCATTTCGTATAGAAATTTTATTGAGAATTTCGAGACCAATAAATTGGATCAATAACGTCCAGAAATGGGTTGTTGGATGTTTTGAGATTGAGAGGAAACCCTTCTAGTTTTCTTTGTGCATAACAATACGTATTGTTGTTGTTTTGGAAAATTTTGAGATTAATTGGCAGCAAAGTGATTAAGAATTTTCCGGGGGATAGGTAGTGCTAGGACAAAGTCTTCTTTTTTTAGGTTATGGTTCAGCTCCTTTAACTGGAATATATTGAAGTATTATTACTACTGCAAAGGGTGATAATTGAGATGATAATTGGGTTTGTTATAAGGACTTGAGATTAAAGAATCCTTCTTGTGTTGAATTATTGCAACAAGGGATCTTGAATATAAGGTTGTGAGTTTTGCATTCAAGTTTCAATAAAAATGTTAGAGCTGACAAAATTTCGTTAAGCTCCTAATATTTTGAGTCACATGCATAACATGCACATACACTTAGTGGTCGTCAGTCTTCATGCTCCTTAGTGATGATTAGGTACACATTTTGAAAGCTGTCAGTAGTTTGAATGTATTGCTGCAATCCTTCTCTTACTCCTTGGCTCGTTTGTACTAACTTGACTGTGATAGGCCCTTGAAGCTGCAATTGAACCTCATCTGCCAAAAGCTCATTGGGATCATGTTTTAGAAGAGATGATATGGCTTTCAAAGGTAATTTACAGATATAAGGTTTTAAGATTTAGGTAAGGTTGTGCTTTCTTATTTTTAGAACAAGCATTTTGTTGAAAATTGTGAAATCATTTCAATTACGTTGATAATATGTGATAAATGTTTTCCTTGCTTATGAAACTAGTTGCTAGCTGAATTTCAAGTCAGAGAGAAAATGGGTATTAGCTTAGGCGAAGAAGGTTGCTTTAAGATCGAGCAAGGGCATGCTAGATCAGGCTACAAGGGGAGAAAAGAAATTGAGGGTCTGTTTTTTCTTAACTGAAGTGCAATGCATAGACGCATTGACTAAGTTTATCTCACTACTCATGTTACAAAAAATTGGTTCATATAATTGCTCACTGACACATTTATTTTTCTTGCAACATTGTGAATTTTAATTTAGGAGGAAGAGCAACGGATAAAGAAGGTTGCACTCAATATATCCAAGGATGTGAAGAAATTCTGGCTGAAAATAGAAAAGCTGGTAAGCTTATCTGTGCTTAGTCAATGAAGTCACCAACTTTTTTATTTTATATCTTTTCAATAATTAATTGTCTTTGTAGATAAGGCCCTGACTATATAATATACATGCATAATATTGTAAACTAGGTTTTTTACAAGCATCAAATGGAACTTGATAAGAAAAAGAGAAAGGCACTTGATAAGCTTAAGTTCCTTCTAGGTCAAACTGAGAGGTGAAGTAGTTTTCATGGTTAATTGATATGGTCTTAGTTGTTGTTTTCTGTGTGCTATAATTGTTTTCTTGCTGTTGTCCTGGTGAACTGGTGAACTGAATGACACTTCTGCATGAAATTTCCAGGTACTCAACAATGTTGGCAGAAAATCTCGGGGACAGCTACAAGCCTGTTCAGCAATATCCTACACAAGATCAGCCAAGTATCCAATGCAAAGAAATGGACAAAAATGATACTAACAAATCAACTGAATTGAATGCCAGTAAGTTGAAGGTGGTTATTTCATTGACGTTCTTACGTAGGAAGTTATTTTACTTTTAGCTTGACTAAAATACTCAATACATTTTAAACAGAATCTTAAGGAGAAAGAGCAAACATTGATGCTGCTGCTGATGATGATTATGATGTACAGTCTGATGATATAACTGTGAGTCTTTCCCTTCTATTCTGTAAATATATGATATTTCTTTTTAACTCAAGTTGATGGTATACATGATAGTAATGCCAATTATGCAAGGAATTATGTGCATATGTTGTGGGTTACAATAATTCTTTCCATGACACTAGAATATGTTAAGGAAAAGTACGTCAGCCAACACTTTAGTACTTTAGTATTTTGGCCTAAGTCTATGCCGCCATAGGATCAGGGATGTCAGGCAAAGGTGAAAGAGGCGTAGTTCGTAATGTAGTTGACCACGAGTGTAAGATAGAGTCCTATAGTTGAGCTGACCAATTTATCTGCAAACAGTGCAACTGTTTGCTGGCCGGGAAAGTTCTGTAATATCAAGTAAATCCTGATTAATCACATGGAACAAAGTCATGAAATTTTGGAATAGAGATCTGGCTCCAATACTTAGTTTTCTGTATTTGCAACTTGCATAAGCAGCCTCATGTTCTGTTATTGTGAATTTTATACTGTAAATATGCTATATAGAGTTTTTTTCTTTTTTCTTTTTAAAAGTGTTAAGTGCAGCACTTTAATGTATTTTATTAATTACGGAGTGAAACCTATGATTGCGTCTGAAGAGGGTGGGGGTTAATTATATTGCAGCTGCAAAAAGCAATCTCGTTGTACCCTATAAGACTGAGAAAAGCATCTCAAACGTTGTCAGTGGTCGTCGTTGTGTAAGTTGTATGTGTTTGTATTTGCCAATGCTGAATTGTGCAGTTTATGAATGGTTGGCATGACATATCTCTATTTACAGGTGGGAAGTAATGGCCATTTGTCCATTTCAGAAAGCCATTTATCAGAGATTGAGATAAATGAAGACGAAAATCATTTAGAAGCGCCTGTACAGCTTGCCAAAGGGCAGATGCAATATGATTTTAATGATGAACATGTGAGCAGGACTCGTCCTATAGGCATCAACAAAATTCAATCTACTTGAATTGAAACAAGTATCTGAGTTCGTAAAATTGCATCTTTTGTGAACTACAAGACACCCACGGACCTCTGAACATATGCAGCTGCGGACATTTGTTATAATTGCCGCCCATCCGTCACCGCAGTTTGATCGCATCTTTGGCATTCAAGCAGTGGCCTTGACATGAGTATCAGCATATTGGCTTGGATTGGCTTGTAACGATGTATGAGAAAAGACTGAATGGGATTCTAGCCGACTAGATGGGGCTTGGGAAAACAATCATGACATTGCTTTGGTTGCACCTAGCATGTCATAAGGGGAGACTCGGTTTCTTAAAAGATGTCCAGCTTTCGAAATCCTGACTTATTTTGGAAGTGCTACAGAGCACAAATTGAAAAGGCAAGGCTGGTTGAAACCAAACTGGATAAACACGTGCCGTAAAATACTGTATTTTATCCTTGAGAAATGCTCTTGGTTGGATGTCTTGAGTATTTGTAGACTTTTGAATTAAATTCTAATTTCTCATATTTTCTTATTTTATTAAATTAGTTTTCATAGGGGTGTGTAATAGCAGAATCAAATTCGGAGTTGTGGAGATTGAGTTATGATTTTTGTTATGTGGAGGGAAATTACAAATTTCCTTTATGGAAATTTTAAGTGGGTTTTAATTCCGAACTAGGATTCTCTTCTCTCATCTTTCCATCTATTTTCATCCCCTCTTTTCACATTTTCTATTTTGTCTTTATCTTTCTGTAAAACAATAATATAAGATGTTGACGTGACTTAACTGTGACCGTTCAAATAGGAGAAAAGGAAAGAAAAGGGGAAAAAATAGGGGAGAGAATCCTACTCCTTTAATCCCAACTCTCGGTCACTCCCATCTCCTTCCCTCATTATACACCGAGACACTTTCTTTCGAGTTCTTAACACTCGAGCTCTCTCTCTCTCTCTGCCTTCTCTCTAAACCACCAAGAACAGTCACCACCATTTTTACTTTCGACCAAATCATAGCCACAAACCAGTAGATTCGTCATCTAGGTGGGCTGTGGAGTCAAACGGTGGCTCTGCATGTTCAATCCAATGACGGGAAGGAACTGAACTGAGAGCTTCGTACTTCCCGGTGGACTCGGGGTGGAGCTTCGTAATATTTCTTCGGACAAATGCCTACACTTGTATTAGACAGAATTCAATGTAAAATTTTGATTCAAAGTCGCGCGACAAGCCACATGAAGGCGGCGGACCAGAATGTAAGTGACAGTGAAGCGAAAGCATAAGTCCACAGCATGATAACTGAACATTCATTCTCTCCTGCTCCAAATACTTGCGTCATTATTCCTGCCATATTTTAAGGGATCAATAAACAATACTTGCGAATAAACTTACATTTGTTATGAAAAGACTGAGCGAGCGAGCGAGCGAGCAACCGCTGATTGCACTTTTTGTTGCTAAACAATCAAAGAGCAAGCGTACCTATGTTCATCGCAGGAGGGAGTGAAAACTGAAGCAGAAGAACAAACAGATATAATGGATCAGAGTGCACCAACCCAAATTTCAGTGCCCCTTTAACAACCAAGATGCCTATAAGAGGCAGGGCAACATAACGAACAACTATGATGCCAACGACAAGAGATTTCTGAATCCCTGACCCTCGCAAACCTGAAACAACAATGTGAAGTAAGTTCTAAACTAAACCAACAATTAAGTACGACACTAATAGAATTTGTACGAGTTATTACCTTTAAGTAGGTTTCCTCCTATTATCAAAATGAGAGATGGGATGGCTCCGTCTCTGCAATCATAAATAACAAGTCTCTTTAACTGATACCAAGTGAAGAACAAAAATGATACAAACACTTCGTATAAAAAACACGCTCGTCTTTTGAGCCGAAATTCAAAAACCATATGGTCTGAATATATTTTGTAAAGTTGGGATTAACACGAGACAATTATTCTACTTTTATGCTAATTGAGAACCGAACTGTTCATTCGGATATGTACAACTATAGGACCAAGCATGGGTAATATCTTCCCTAGCATGTAACTGTATAAGAACGGGAAGCTATATTAGTTGCCAATAAGTGCGTAGATCATGGATAAAACATTAAGGCTCGATAGAGTTCGGGCATAAGTTTTATACCCCAACAAATAAGCAGTATCTTGAATCACCCGTAGAGGAGCACCATCTCCTAAAAATAATTTTCGAATCTGAGGGATGACTCCGATTGGAAAACCAACAAGCTACACCAGGAAAAGATTAAGTTTGCTTAACTTTTCAATAAAATAGCACCGAATCTGGATCACAATGATATAAAAGTGCCGAAAGGACATACCGCTCCAATAGTTGAAGGGGCAAATATTGATTTCAGATTGATCTTTTGAAGGACCATCACTATACGTTGCTCTAGTTTACGTGAAGTAGTTGCCTGCCATGGAAAACAACAAAGATATGCAGTGTAAGAAATTGAAAAGAAACAGGGTAAATTTCTCGTTAGAGATGTTCGGCATGTTACATGTGAGCTTGTGAATCTGGACCATATATTCAAATGACATTCATTTGATTAGTACTTTGGATTGAGAGTCTGACACATAAACATTTCTAAGTCTTTATGAGAAAACTGACATTTCTCTATAAACAAATCTTAATATAGTTGGAAATACGTAAACAAATCATCAAATTGGATGAACATGATTGTAGTTTAATGGAGTTAGCAGTGTATGACAGTGCATATTGATCCGGATTTTCCTCAACTATTACATTCCTTTGAAGAAAGCAGAGGCTCAGTGCAACTTACTTGGTCGGATGTAGAGGACCTCTCCACGGACTGATTATAATCTTGGTTGCCCCTTCTTGAAGATATCCGTACAATATTATACACATAGGACCACACATAAAAGTCTCCTACCTGAAGCATGGACACAATTACATTACAAAAGGCAAAGATAGGAATCCCTGACAGCTGAACAAGGTAGCTACATAGTACTGAAGAGAAACAGTCACCAGAATTCAAGAGGAAAAGAAGGACAAAAGAACATATGTTTATAAAAACGTATTCTACACAGCAAGCAGGCGCACACAAACACTGTTTAAGAACTGGACCTGGCCGTTTGGGGGTAGTACAATCTGTATGTATAATTGTAGATGTTCTAGACATGAGATGAAACTTATGATGATATTAATAAAAATTAAAATCGTGATTTCAAATTGCAGTAACTGCGCATTTTCAACTTGAATGAGAGAATTGGATTGTAACTTATTTGAAGCAGCTTCCCAATCCTATCTTAATTCGAGTCATAGAAAGCTAGATAAAGGAATTTCAAGAAAACCCCAAACATTGGAACAGGATGAAGAAGGCAAATGTACCGCCATTGAGAGTGAAGCATAACCCATAGCATACATGTGACAGACATCAGGAGCGCCAAATGGGCTCCCTTTTTCCTTACAGACTTCTGGGACTATAATGAGGAGCATCATACCCAAATTACCTGTTAAGTGTTAACATCAGCATATCTAGAGGTTGATAAAACGCAAAACCGAATATTTATCAGCTGTGTTTTAGAATTAGAGTGTAGGATTACCTGCAGCACAGCAACCCAAGACAAGGCCTCGCAGATGGGCAGGAGGCCTTATTAATTGGATAAGAAGACATCCAAGTATGGAACCAATTATAAATGTGATGAGGATATTCACTGGAATGAACCACCTATACACGTAATAATAATTACAACGTTAACATGATTATATACATATACATACATACATATATATATATATATATATATAGTTAGATTAAACAAAGTAAGTAGAACTCACATTTTAACCATGTTTTGATATGTACTTGTCTGCGCAACATTGGAACTTACCAGAGCAGGACCGAATACATAAAATACAACCTATGCGTTTGTTGGTTCACAAAACACAAATATTAGTAAGAAAACTGTCCAACACGAGAAATAAATTAAATGAAGAGGGTTTAGAGCACAAGAGACTGAATGAAGAAGCAGTGTATCGTTTTTACAGTGTTTAAGTTCTTTCTAGTAACTTCCCCCAAAATATTGACACGATCAAGAGCAAGATATGAGCCAAGTGCTGTTATCGAAAGCACTTTCAACACTGGAATTAAGGCCGTCACGAGCAGCTGCTTAAGCTCCATCCTTTTCTTTTATCAATTATTCCAAATTATTATTAGCTCGTATTCACCTCCTCCTCTGCCAGTTCTGCCTGTCTGCCTCTGCAAATGTAATACCAAACAGAGAACAAAAATACAAAAATGCAATCAAAATGTCAGTTTTGGATACGAATTCAGCAATACATACATACATACATATATATATATATATATATATATATACACCATGCTAACAAGACAGAATTAGACAAAAATGGGGAGGTTTTTATCAAACCTTTATATTCGAATTAAATAGTACAATTACGCATGCCAAAGGAGGCCTAAGCTGCTATCACAATGAATTGCTTCTGTTTTGCTTTCATGAAAACAAAGGAAAAACGATAGAAAACAATCAAGAAAGCACATAGATATGGTAGATTTAAGAATGTATTAGGAGGAAAAACAATAAGGGCATATGCATTTATATGCATTTATGCAGCTATTAAACGTGTCGCTTGTCTGAGCTGGGTCGACCAGTTGTTGATGGGATCATGGGATGGTGCTCAAATAAAAAGGTTTAATCAACACAGGTCTCGTCTGGCGTCTACGTTTCTGTCTTCTTCTGCTTCCCATTTCCTTTGCCATTGGTGACTTGGTTACTACAATAGTCTCATCGCAAGCACTGCTCTTGTTTTATGCCATGTCCCTCCCAAAGTGACCATATAATTTATGAATAGCCAAGATAATGGTCTGTTTGATCCTCATGAAAACAGATGATTAGGTGGTACTTAATCCACTATTGTGATCATTGTGTTACTTGTTTTCTACCAACTTAAAGCCCCAATTAGTATTCTTTGTTTGTATATTATGTAAAAATGTCCTTTTGGAGAATTTACATAATCTCCATTACTAATCCTTTACATATGTTTAGACAAGATTATTCTTAGTCCTTACAAGAGGGATATTGGTCCCTTTGTATCTCCTATTTGAAAATCTTGCAATCTAGTAAGACTTATGAAATGGGCATTTGTTAGAATACCTTCCCATGAATTATCAAAAATATCGAAGGAAACTAGCTGAGAGAGTTGCCCAATACTTTGTGGAATGGAGCCCTTCATAGTATTAGAAGAGAGGTCTAGTGTTCTGAAGGATGACAAATTTTCGATGGAATCTGGAATTGAGGCCCTACAAATTATTGTACATAGGTTGAGATTATGCAAAACATTCCTAATCCTAAGGAGGCTAGAAGTTGGCTTTGCATACCACAATCAAATAAATCTAGCGACTCTAATGAATTATTTGGATATTTTGAGAAACTCCTTTAAAACTCGTCAAATGTAAAATCAATATTGAAATTATTAGCCGCCAGATTTTTGCTTGCAATTTCACTGAATTTGACTACATTAGCAAATAGGCACGAAAGGGTGAGTTGGTGGGTTTCTGAAAGAGAAAGGACTTAATATGGCTTACAAACCATGTTTCATTAGCACTAATCAGGACTTAATGACTTTAAATCTTGGTGAATGGCATACACTAATAGTTAAGTACAACATAAACTTTTTTACAAACGATATTATCTACACTAATGAGCTAGCAATAATGCGGTTCAAATTTGCATTTAGCGAGAATCAAACCTAAGACCTCTCACTTACAAGTGAATAGGAATACAACTAGACTATAATACTATTAGCAGCATAACAGAAGCTTAGTAATAGAAAAATAATTGTTATGTTTGGAAATTAAAGAATAAAGTCTAAGGAGGTATATTCAAGTTAATGGGGTTATAGTCAACCTATGGATTTAGGAGGAATATAAAAAACTTTAAAAGTAATAGGTTTGATACGATTTGAAAACTCCTACAAATTTCATATGGATTTTTAAGGATTTATGTTGATATGTTTATGATTTTGGTGGATTTTTAAGGCAATGGAGAGATGGTGACCCAAATAGACAGCCGATAACAACCACCACCTCCACTCATGGGAAACTCACCATTACCCACCAAGTCTCTGTTTGACTTTTCGATAAAAAAAATTAAAAAATAAATATTACAAACAGTGAAATCAACACCATCATTCCATGAAATTAGAAAGAAAAAAAAACTTAGAAAAATCCCCAAAGATCAGTACATGGAAAAAGGATAGGAACAAGAATTGATTGTTGTGCAGGAAAAAAATTGAAGATGTGAAAATTGGGACCCAGTAACACTACATATGAGAAATGATGTGACCCATCATCATCTTTATTCAGAAATAATGCAAGCCATCAATGAAAATTGAAGAAAAATGCAGAGATGAAAGAAGATAAAGAAAACAAAGTGGCTGGCAGACAGTGTGAGGAAGAGACAGTCATAGTTATATATACTTTTTACTTTTAAATCTCTCAAACTCCACAAGTTAATAAAATTCTATAAATTAATAATTTTTTAATACACCTAAATTTGGATAGGCTCTAAAAATATCTATTAAAATCTCAATTGATTATACTAAGATTTTAAAGTATTTTAAAATCTTTTAGTTGTCTACACTAGGATTTTCATGGATTCTAAAAATCATTTTGTTGATTACTACTAGGATTTAAAGTATTTTAAAATCCTCTTAAACCCGAGTTTGACTACGCACTCTAAAATTTTAAAATCAGGATGTAGTTAATTAAAATTTTAAAAAATACATATTTTAAACACTTTGAATTTTATTTATTTTTTATTTTATTTTATTTTTTATTTTTATAAATCTTACTGACGAGGAGACTGGATGGTCAGAGAAGAGGAGCTAGCTGCATGCTTAGAGGGATCAGGAGAGGAAAGCATTGAATGACTCAGAAATAGTGCAGATACAACCATATCTATTGAAAAGAGCTTGAACGAGTATCGTGACAAGGTTCCAAGCGAACAAGGGTGTTTAAGAATTTTTACATCGTTAGAATTATAAGAAATTATAGTGGTTGGTTAAATTCTATTCATGCTCCACCTTTTGGTTATTTTTTCAAATTTTTCAATCATGGTGTAGTCAAAGGCTTTGTTGTTGGGAATAAGGTTTTGTTATTGTTGTATGGTGTAGTCAAAGTAGTATTTAATAGGATTCAAAGAATGCATTCAAATTTAGGTGTAGTCGCAACTTAATACTACAGTCTAATGATATTCTTCTTCATTTGTAAGTGAGAGGTTTTAGGTTCGATTCTCAGCAAAAACAAATTTGAATCACATTATTACTAGCCTATTGTGAGGCTAAGCCTATTCATTCTCTCTTATTGTAGATAATTTCATTTGTTCAAAACGAATAAAAAAATCAAGTTATAGTCAACTAGGATTTTAAAATACTTTTAAAGAATCCATACAAATCTGTATGTATTTAAGATGTCATAGATTTTGTAGAATTTGAAAGTGAATTTTATGATTTCTTTTCAAAGTTCACCACGCCCCACTCGGCCCTTTCCTTTCCATGACTGCTACGCAAAATGCCATTTTGGAATCGCTTCGAAAGTTCAAGATAGCTTAGTCCCAATTTCCACCAGACGGGGAGAGACTGCAGCTTCTGTTGGTCCATGGTTTGCACCAGACGATCCAGCACTTCCTCATCCATGGAAGGGTTTGATCGATAGTTCTGGATGGTTATACTACTGGAAGTCTGGAACCCAGAGACTACGTCGTCCAGTATGAAAAACCACCTCCTCGTAAGCCTTTTCTCTCAGCCCCATTGAGTCCCACAACTTCATCATCTGCCACACCCATCACTCATTGCCATGTTAACTTACAACCCCTCCTTTCCGACCCAACGCAAAAATCTTTTGCAAAAAATCACTTAAAAGATTATGTAATAGGCCTTGCCTTTATTTGTACAAAGTCTATATCGCTATCCAATTTGTACATTGTATTTTATAAAAATCAATTAGAGATTTGCTATTGCTCATTTTCTTTGTTTCGTGTTTTTATTTTTGTGCTTGTGCCTTTTGAAGTTCGTATTTCCAGACCAAAAAAGAATAATGCTCAATATATTTTCTGCTAGCTATATAAAATAATTTATGAGCTAGGCACATTTATCATCCTTTGATTTATTTGACGATCAAGATCCAACGTTGTATGAGTCTATCAAAATTCATAGAAATCTACTATATAAATCTTCTCAAATCTTCCGAAATCCATATGGAAATTGTAGAAGTATAGATAATCATATGAAATTCATCACTTAAAAAATCTATTAAAATCATCTCAAATCACAATTTAATGATACTGCAATTTAGTCTTGCTAGTGGTGCATGCGTTGCCCTAGTGGATAAAGTAGTCATGTTCGACTCACTCTATCTAGGATTCAAACCTTTCCCTCACACTTTAGTGCATATTAGAGTAATAATATCGATTTATTGGTTTTTATATGTACATTTTCTTGTGTGCTTGCTTCTCATTCAATGAACTTGCATCTCTTTCCTGTACCTTTTTCCTCTTATTTCAACATTTTACTTTCTCTACAGATTTTTGCTGACTATAGCCTAATGTAATTTCTGATCACTTCCCAAATATTACCAAATGTATGGTGTTTTTATATTTGATATATTCTTATTTTACCAAGGCTGGATTCTAGAAAGGTCCTAATGAAACTCTTTACACCAAATCAAATGAAAGTTTAGGTACAATCATTGTCTCTTTGTATGTTGATGACATTGTTTATATTGGTAGTTTTCCAACAATGCTTGAAGAATTCAAGAGTGATATGACGCAACATTATGAAATAACTGATTTAGGATCATTACGCTGACACTTTCTGGTAATGAGAGTTGTTCAAATTGAAATGAGCATCATCATTCACCAAAAGAAGTATGCAATAAAATTACTTGAGAAATTTGGTCTAAAAGGCTATAAGTCAGTGGCAACTTTACTTCTAGTAAATGAGAAATTGTGCAAGGCGGATGGAAGTGATGGTGCTAAGTTTGGCCTTGTAGTGGGAAAATTTCTCATTACAACTTCTATGTGATAACACATCAGCTATAGCCATGGCAAAGAATCATGTCTTCCATTAGAAGATGAGACATTATAACATAAAATTTCATTTCATCCGAAAAGCTAATGGAAGTAATGAAATTGAATTTCTATATATACCAAAACCTAGTTCGGTAGGTTTACTGTTCTTGAGCATAGGGAAATGACGTAAATACTCCCATTACAGTTAAGATTTTTCTATCTTTTTCTTACTTGAACAGTGAAATGACAAAAAAGGGTAGGAGATACGTGTTGCTTTTATATGATCGTGCGTTGTCACTTCATTGCGCTGTTGTTTCCTCTCTGTCCGGTTTACCGTTTGGCTTTCTTTTCTTACGTGTTTTTCGTACGGTGTCACTGCCATCAAACCCTCGCTACCCAGAAAACTCATGAACTCCCCAAAGCCCCAAACCAACAAATTCAATTCCACAATCTCTCACTCTTAATCTAAACCCTGAAACCAAAAACTCAATTTCAAGTATCAAGCGGCTAGGGTTTCGGGTGTTGGAATTCCGGCGAACTGTTTCTTTCCAGAAGCAAGCGAAACGGACCGCGTCGTTATTACCAATCTTCTTGGCTTTGTCTCTCAGGTTCGATGCTCAAATTTAAGGTATGAGACTCTGAGGTTTCAAAATCAGGGAGGGGTTTTGTTTAATTTCAATATCAGTGAGGCTTCCCTTTTAACAAGGGCTTCAATTTAGTTAGGGTTTCGTTCAATTTCATTTTCATTTTCTGATCTTAGTTTTAATTTTGGATTTAATCTAATTATTTTGATTCTAATTCAATAATTTTTTTGTAAAGTAGGTTTTTTTGTTGGAGAAGTCGTTGGACTGGCAAGAAAAAGTCTACTGTGCATAACGACAGGCCTGCATTTTTGCAGCAAGGACCAAAACAAGTACTCTTAACACAATGAAGAATCAGCAATTAACTCACAGATATTAAGATGAAGAAGATGA